TCTTCTCATACGGAGAAAGTTGCAGGCATAAATCACCACGCTTGCTCAAGGCGGATTGGCGATTTCAAACTTATAATTAGAAATTATAAGTCCAGGTTTCCTGGCGATCAGCCGGGGTTGTGGGTTAAGCGCAATGAGTCACCGCGGTCAGAGCAGGAGAAAGACGGGGGGGCTTTTAGTCAGTAAGAGTCTGACACTCTCTCTCGCCTTGCCCTGGGCGGGAAAAGTCATTTGATGATTTTCCCCTGACTAAAAAAAAGTTTCCTGACGATGTTTTCCTTCCACCGTATGTCAGTGGTGTCTTAATAATTCATAGAAAGTACGTACGGGAAATTCATATTGGTTTTGAAACCTCCTGCATGAGAAGCTTGCGCGTTAAACTCCGTGTGCCACAACGATATGGCGTCATTATAAACTTTATATTTAATTTAACAAGTTGTTCGCTATGGGGGACAACATGTGGGCCACGCTACTGGTGGGTTTACCTTCAACAGTACTCTGTCGGCAGTCAATGGCTTAACAATAGCCAATATCTCTGTACTCAGTTAATTTTTTATTTTCACACCAGCATATTAAATAGTTTGTCTGTCTGTCAACCTGCGTCTGGGTAGAAAACCGCATTTTATTGATAACATTTCTTAACGCGCTAGTCTTTCGGGCTGATCATAAAAAGACGTAGATTTTATGTAATAATAATTATTATTTTAATTATTAATAAGTCGAAGCAACGATATGGACCGTTTTTCTTAAATTATTTTCTATTATTATTATTATATTTTAATAAGACCTGAGTTTTTTGCTGTAGTTGTAAGTGTATAGATCTATTTTTTTGTATGTAAATCAACTTAATTTTGTTTTTTTTTTCTTTGTAAATTGCTTATTTTTTAAATTTAAATATTGTAGTTTTAATTCAAAAGCAATGTAGTATAGGAACGAGTATTTTTAGGTAAATAATTCGAGTGTGATGAGCATTTTAAATGAATTTGTATTAATATTACGAAAATAAATGTAAATTCATTTAAAATGCAAGGAAAGTTGAAATGAAATCGAGAAAACGATTTTTCGACGCTCATATATGTGTTTTGAGTGGCGGGAAAAGCTACGTAATATTTTTAAAAATAATAATTTTCATTTGAAACTTATTAATTTGTAAATATTGAACATACATTTGTAATGTTAAATAAAGCATTTTTATACGTAAATATTAATTCAGAGATTACCACAGTATTTTGTGTAAAAGTTTTTATTATTATTATTATTTTAGTTTTTAACGAAAATAGCCATAACTTTCTTTTTAATGTTAATTTTTTTTTGTCAATTAAAAGTGACTAAATTATTGTTACATTTTTTTGAGAATATAAAGGAAATACACTATATTATTTTGTTGTTTCATTTTGTTGAGTACCCCAATATTATGCAGACTCGTAGGCTGCACTGAGCTGATGGTAGGGGTCACTGAGTCTGCATCATCATCAGCCTTTAAGTGCCCACTGCTGGGCAAAGGCTTCTCACACGGATTAAGTAAGTATCACCACGCTTGCTCAATGCGGATTGGTTTGGAATTATAATCACAAGTTTCCTCACAATGTACTTATTCCTTCATCATTTGTTAGTGGTGTTTTTTTATAGCATAGGTCGACAAACGAGCAAACGAATTACCTGATGGTAAGCAATCAACGCCGCCCATGGTCACTCGCAATAGCAAAAAAGCCAAATGCGTTGCCGGCCTCTTGTGAGTAATTAGAAAAGACACATTAGGCTAAGAACTCACGGAGCGATTTTGAACCGTGCCCGCCGTGGTAGCGGAACTGCGGTTTTATTTCCAAACTTACGAGACCGGTTATTTGCGCGGTTACACAGCCGCCGCGGTTGCGATCATCGCCCGCAAACGTGGCGGGCGATGAACGCAAGATTGCAAGACGGGTGGTTAATGATCAGTTGAGGTACAGACCGCCATGGACACACACCAGAATCGAGCCGTTGCGTTATATTTACTTCACAGAAGACCCGCCGGCCCCCGCGGTCGCTCGCCAACCGATCGCAAAGCGCGCGGGTGCCACCCGCCGAGGCTGCGGGTAACCGCGGCCCGCGCGATTCTACTAGTTGCCCGCCGGTACAGCGGGAGCCGCATACAACTGCGTACACCGCGGGCGTAAAACGCGTCGTGAAATGTGCTTTAATTTTTTATGTAAATATTTGAATTCTACAGAAGCTGCGGGCCCGCAATCGCAGCGGACGCGGGCGAAAATCGCTCAGTGAGTTCTTAGCCTTAATGTCCCTGGGACTTTAGTGTTTCGGTGTTTTCTTGGTTGTATCTACTGTAGATACAGGTGCACAGGAGTTGCAGCGGGCTTGTCCCAATAATCAGCCGGTGGGGGCTGCAGTTGTGCGAAGATCTCTACTCCCCTGTGGGTTATGGATACCCCAGCCTTGTCTTGGAGCAGGAGAAGGAGCTGGGGTTTTTAGTTAGTAAGAGTTTCACACTGTCTTCACGCGTACTGTTCATGCTTGAATGCTTTGCATTGTACACGGCAACACAAGTTATACAAAGTGTCCAAGTGCAGCGCCTTTGCTTAAAATCAGGTAATCGTCTGCTCATTTGGCATGATATCACAAAATACATAAGGAGTGAAACTAGTATAAAAAGATTCAAGCGTAAATTAAAATTATATTATTTAGAAATTATTTAAGTTTTATATATGAATGTAATTGCAAGTTCTTTATCATTATATATTAAGTATACTAGCGGCCCGCCCCCGCTTCACACGGGTCCAACAAACTCGCTATCAAAGGGTCACGTTTTCCTAATCTTCCCCTCTACTTTTCTAATATTTTCTTTGATAAGAACCTTTTCCTGACAAAAACAAACACAACAAAAAAAGAGTTAGCAAAATTGGTCCAGGCGTTGTTGAGTTATGCGCTTACCAACACATTTTGCGATCCATTTTTATATAGGTATAAGAAGATAGGTATAGTATTTGGTTAAAAGTAAATTTAATTGTTATTAAAGATACTCACTGACCCCACAGTCAAACGATTACAACGGTTTTGTGGGGCTTAGCACATAAGATGGCTACCTTTGTGATATAAGATAAATAAATAATACTTAATAAAAAACGGCAACTGTTTCCTTAATAGGTAGGTATAGGTAAAGTTTTTTATTCATTTTGACCTCCGGTCATAAGCCAACAAGAACCGGTTTTATTATAATTGTTAGACTTGTCTATCTATAGAATTATTATGCTTAACTCACATACAATGCTACGTTATGCGATATTTTTATATTATCAAAACTTTCGATAAAATCAAAGCTTTTTTTTCTTGAGCTGGGAAAATCATGCAACAATTGGGTTTCTAGGTCAAATATAAATGAGTTTTCAATACAATTAAGTAATTAGATTCTAAATTATAATTATACTTTCATTTATTGATTACACGACAGGACTTAGGGCTGATTTTCAATGGTTAGATAAAAGTTATCTGCGGAATAAATATGATTTTATGATTCTGTCGCGTCAGAATGTTTGTAAAAGACAGTGACAGCAACAATTTTGTTCCTCAAATATCATTTATCGGACTATTAAAAAATCAGCCCTTAATTTTATATTTTACCTAGCACATTTTTACAAATAAGTAAGTGTGCTATTTGACGTAAAATATTATGTTTCAATTTCATATAAAATTCATAGAATATCTTTTTTTACATTTCAATACCTACAAGTATTGAATTACACTAGGTAGTTGGAGAGTACCGGATTCAATAAGCTTCATTACCTTTTTTTTTGTCAGGGAAAAGTCACCAAATGATTTCTGCCACCCAGAGTAAGGTGGGCTTCAGGCACATTGCGCCTATCCCACAACCCACAACCCCGGCTGAACATCAGCCCTGTAGGGCCCCTTTTGTGGTGGGCCTATGGTCATCCTACGACCTAGGAGTTAAATGCTTTGCCGATTTTTAGAGGATAAAGTACTGTTGGATTAGAAGGATTTGGAGAAAGGAAAGCTCTTTCGGTATTAGAGATTTGTGACAGACCGGTTTTCAGTAAGCCCATTACTCCGGTCGTGCCTTTCCATTCTTTTAAAAGCATGGCTCTCCCACATCTATCGTATCGCATTGCCTAGCTTCTTAGTTTAACTGGAATGCTAGTTTTAACTATGGAAACATTAATCCAAGAGCTATACTTAATCAACGATAGTGTTCTGAGTTCTATCAAAATAACACACGTCTTGTAAAACTAACTTTAGTAAATTCATTTCGAACCAAATGTTTAAGTGACAAAAATGTGGTGTTTTATATTTTTATTTTACGTCTGTTTTATTTTAAATGAATGTTTTTGTAACGAGGATAGTCATAGTATTTTTCAACAAAATCCCGATATTCAGATTGGTGGGTATTTTTATCCTTTTTTTTATTTTATTTTCCACTTGCAATAAACCAGTGCTTGTCTGCGATGGTAAGCAGTGATGCAATCGTTGATGGTAAGGCGCACTAAGTAGTTTATTAAGAGCCTATTCACTCTAGCCTTGAAGACACTTAAATTGTATTCGGACGGAAAGACTGCAGCCGGCAAACTGTTCCAATCTCTCGATGTACGCGGTATAAATGACGAGGCAAAACGCTTAGTCCGGGCCGCAGGTGTCTCAACAACGTAAGGGTGGATATTTGCCGTACGCCGCGATGTTCGAAGGTGAAATTGGGAAATTATCTGTATGTGTTTAAGTGGATTTATTGATAATAACGACTTACTCAAAGGAATAAACTGAGAAAGCTCTATTAGTTTACGGAAAAGAGTCGGCCACACAGACACCGCCGCGACGCGCACGCTGCCCAAATTACTGCACTGCATCAAATTTAGAGGAAAGTAGAAGGCTATTTAGTGTTTTCTGTGAGGCCGTGGTATCACTCCGGTCTCAGTAGTTTGTTTTTCCAGGTTCAAATTGCACGTGGAATGGGTTAAGTGGGACGTGCACCAGTTTAGTCAATTGCCCATCAGCTCAGGATGCCATTAATAAGAGACATTATCCTACAGTAAGTACAATGCTTGTTATTTAATCTTATCAAAATTCAAAATTATTTATTTCAATTAGACCACAGTAGGCAATTTTGAACGTCAATAAAAAAAGCAAAAAAGTATTTCAAGAGCTTTAACTTTAAGCGTGTCTGTCCGTCAGTCCTCTAGTGAAGCTATTTGCTCGTTCCAAAGTGTACATTCCTATTTAGAAAAACGAGCAAGAAACTCCATGGTTCATCATCATCTTCCTGCCCTTGCCCCGTTTTATTTGGGGGCGGCGCAATATGTTTATTTTCTGTCCTGTCAAGAAACTCCATGGTTGCTCTTTTTAAATCAATTTTATACATTTCTTTGTTAATTCATTTAGTAGGTTCTATCTTACATCTTTGTTTGGATGTTTGTTACTCATTCACATGAAGATCTGTCTGGATAAAATTTGGCACAGGCATAAGATACACTCCGGAATAGGACATAGGCTACTTTTTATCAACATACCACGCAGGCAGACAAATGAAATGTGATTTTTTTTTCAGATATGTTCCTTTGAAGGATTGATGCCAATAGTATGCTGCACAGCTCCAGAAATTACACAAAAGAATAGGTAATTTGTTTTCGTAGATACACATAGGTCAAGGTGGCTCTTTTCAAGCATGACACATAGTCACCGGATTCGAAACCTGGCAAGTAGGTACATACCAAAGTGACTTTTTCAAACTTATATGTTCTGTTTATGACTATTTAAACACCACTGACATACGTCGAAGGAAAACATCGTGAGCTACTTGGATTTATAATTATAATTATAAGTATGAAATCGCCAATCCGCCTTGGTGATGAATGCTTAAACTTTCTCCGTGTGAGAAGAGGCTGTAGCGGGAATGCTGACACAATGTTTTTGGTTTATTGCTTGCTACTGTCCTGCACCCGACAACGCCAATTGTCCCGTAGCCGCTTTATACACCGCACCACAGTCACGCGCACATTTGTAACCCTTGTAATTTCGGAATTAATAAAATATATTCGTAAGTAATTTCGGCATATATAATTTCTCTCTGTACACAACCAAAGTGAACACGTATAACATCCAGATACACTAAAAGGCCTTTGCTCAGCAGTGGGCCTAGGACATACATACATATTTTCGTCAGTGATGAAAGTGTTCTGACTTATAACGAAGAAAATGATTTTAATTTTCAGTGAGGTATCGGATAATTCCTCTTCATCTTCAGATCTCAAACCAGGAACGAAGGCAAAAGAGCGTATGTATGCATTTATTTATTTTTCACATTTTAAAGAAGACTTGCAGACTAATAGATCTATACTAATATTATAAAGAGGTAAAATTTGTAAGTTTGTATGTAGGGGGTAATCTTTGGAACCGCCGGTCGGATTGCCAAAATTCTTTCACTGATCGATACCTAGCTACAATGCTACTGAGTGCTTTAGGCTATAAAACATTACGCTACGATTAAACGGAGCCGAGCAGCGGGTGAAACTGTGCGAGAGTAGCTAGTAAATTATATAATGAGTCTAATATTATCAGGTTGCTAATTACAAGCATACACACTTAAATAATAGTGCATTATGGAACAAGTGTGTAATGTTGATCTTAATGAGCCGAGGACGGTAGTCAGGTAATCATCAATACACACGTGTATCATACGACGTTTTTCAACACACTTCTGAATAAAATAATACTTAAATAAAAACTACAAAAGAGAAAACGAGACGAGTTGTCAAAAATATTTCGTAATGGCGGGAAAAATTAATCAGTTTTCCTATGCGCGCGCATCGGCCATAGACTAAAAAAATATGTTTCTTTTTTTTTTTGAGTTTTCCGCGTACCTATACCATTTTAGCACAAGTGTTAGAGTAACTCAGCCAATAATTTAAAAAAAGAACTCTATTACTCACTATAATGAATGAAATCAATATATTGAATGAAAAAGTCACAGTTTGATTATTATATAGGTGTCATTACGTGCCTAATTGCCGTGGGATACGAGCCACTTTATAAGGAAGTGTGTTGAAAAAATAAATATATTTAGTAAAAAATAAATTAAGTAGACATATACATATTCTTTATACGACAAATTTGGGTATAAGAGTCCTACATCAGGCTTGTGAAGTTTCAGCCGGGGTTGCGGGGTAAGCGGGATGAGGCACCGCAACCTCGGCCCAGAGGAGGAGAAGGAACAGGGGGGTTTTTAGTCAGTAAGAGTCTGACACTCTCTCTCGCCTTACCCTGGGCGGGAGAAGTCATAGGATGATTTTCTCCTGACAAAAAAAAAAAAACAAAAAAAAAGGCAATACGAACGGGAGGTTTTCAGTCAATAAGATTCCGTCCAAAATCCTAATCCCCAAAAGACTGGCAACGCACACGTAACTCTGCCGTTGTTGCGGGTATCGATGGGCGGAGGAAATTGCTTACCATCAGGTAAACCGTCTGTACGTTAGCCGTATTTCAACATTAAAAAAATATCTGTTGTTTCAGAATGTTTGAAATATCTAAGAACTCTAGACTACACTTGTCCTACCGCTCGAGATTCCTTCCTTCGAGGAGGTGACGACACTAAAGATGATGAAGCGATATCACCATCTGCAAACTTGGACTTGCCCGTAACGGATCCGTTGACGGAATCTGACGAAAAAATTGGACATGATGAGGTATTTTTCTAATTTAGACACCTTTTTTGAGTAGTAAGTGTCGAGAGACATTATAAATGTTAAGGGCTGATTTTTCAATGGTTAGATAAAAGTTTCCTGAGGAATAATTATGATGCTGTCGCGTCACAATGTTTGTATAAGACAGTGACAGCAACAATTTTATTCCTCAGATAACATTTATCTGGCTATTGAAAAATCAGCCCTTAATATACTAAAATAAGGACTTACTTGCGTGAATTAACTGTGAAAAGCTCTAAGAGTTTTAAGAATTGAATACAAAATTATTATGACGTGACGTTATCAAAAATTGTAGTTAGCAACGACTTTGCCTAAAACTATCATATTTCCTTATTAAACCATTTATTTTTCAACATTTTTCTGTTTTATAATTATTTAGACTTAAGAGGAACAGGGTGGAAAGTTCCTCATCCTCCATTGAAAAGGGAGGATCCTCCGACCAGGCGAGGTGTTCGTGCCTGGTGGGTTATGCCCGACGGTTGTTGTCGGGATATCTGTATGGGTGCTAATTGTGTTGAAAACTCTTATAGCGCGATGTAGACTCTTGCACGTGATTGGTGCTGTTGTTAATGTAGTGCGCTAGATGTCGCTACAATTATCTCACTAGAATATCTTACTAGAGACCCGACCCAGCTTCGCACGAATGCAACGCTGATACTAAATTACTCCACTGTTTAATGGATGTTATTATACATTTAACCTTCCTCTTCAATCACTCTATCTTTAAAAAACCGCATCAAAATCCGTTGCGTAGTTTTAAAGATTTAAGCATACATAGGGATATAGGGACAGAGAAAGCGACTTTGTTTTATACTATGTAGTGATAAGTTTGTATATAAAATGAATAATGATTTTTAGAATTCGGCGCCGATGGTCATACCTCCTATTGCCTTTGGAATACCAGCTCTTCGTAATCAGTATTCACATATGGTAAGTGAATTTACGTTCTTTATAAGTTTATAAAGCCACCACTTCACTGCGGCACATATGGGTCGGCTCTGCTGGAGTGATACCACGGCCTCACAGAAAACCGGCGTGAAACAACCACAGCGTTGTGTTTCGCCGTGTGAGTGAGGTTACCGGAGGCCCAATCCTCAAATCTCCTATTTTTTTTATCAGTTTGCACATATTGGCTGATGATGATGATGATAATTATAGCTTGATGTAGTAACTTATATCTTGCTTTCCAGGCTCTCTTAGGATACGGAGACATAGATACAGCTCAGTGGCTCTGTGGTGGTTCTATCATCAGCGAGAAATTTATCTTAACCGCTGCGCACTGTATTTCCAGTCCTAGCGTGTAAGTATAGATTTTCTTTTATGTTATAGCTCGGCAAACGATCAGACGGATTACTTGATGTTAAGCAAACAGCGCCGCCCATAGACACTCGTTATGCCAAAGGAGTCACTACAAGTGCGTTGCCGGCCTTGTGGTTTATTAGAGATTTAAGGATAGGGGATTTGAGGATTGAGAAAATGAGGAGGGGGGAAGAATTGGTAATTGGCCTTCGGTAACCTCACTCACATGGCAGGTCACATCGCTCTAAAAATTAACGGCAGATGGGCTGAAGTACTCAAGTGGAGACCACGGATCGTAAGACGCAGCATGGGCTAGCTAGATGGAAAGAAAGAAAACTGTTTTTATTCGGACGGAGACATGAAGGCCAAGAACAAACAAAAAAAAAAAATACAACAATAAAAAAAAAAAAAACAATAAAAGTTTGAAGTAACAGGACAACAAAATAAAATAAAAATAAAATTAATCAAAACAATAACGTGATAACAGCCTAACAAAGTACAATAATACAACCCTGGGTTGGCGGACATGCCCAATCCGAATGGGTCGCCAATTCAGCAAAAGCTGGGCACAGAGCACCCAACACTGATTTTCAGTTGGCACCACTGCAGTGACGCACGGACGAATGCAACACATACTATCTACTAAATACTAGTAATTAGTATGAACTGACGACATCGTCAGAGTCGCGAATAGCCAATGCGTGAAAGTGGCGGGTTGTCATTTATCTTGGACGGGAGAGAATCAGGCTTTTATCCAGCAGTGAGGATGATGTACTGTCACTAGTTTGTTAATGAAAACATCTCATACTAAAATGGGCGGCGCTGATTGCTTACCATCAAGTGTGAAAACGCTCAGAAGGATGGGGTTCTTGAGATAAAACACAAACTTTTACTAAGTATTATATTTAATTGTACTACAGAAATACAATCGACGGACCTCTCCAAAAATCTCCGAATTCAAATCTGAATGGCGGACCAGGACAGTGTTGCAACGTTCGAAAAACTGAATCGATTTATGAATCGATTCAAAATTAGAATTGGGGTTTTAAGGGATTTTAACTATTACAATACAGTAGATTAAGGTTTGAAGTGAATATTATTAATAATTAGTAATATGGTAAGTCATAAAATTAATGACTGTTACACAAGTAATTCGCATGCTCGTTTGCCGATCTAATACATAAAAGAAAACGAATGGACGCTGTGTGACAATCCAGTGCACGGTAGCTCTAATAAGCTGTGACCTTAAAAGGCTTTCATTTAATTTTCAGAGGACCAGTAAAGTACGCAGCCTTTGGTATCCTAAAGAGGTCAGATCCTCCCAAGTACTGGCAGATACACAACGTGAAGAGGGTGATACCTCACCCTGAGTATCACCCCCCACATAAATACCATGACATAGCCTTAATTGAGACAGAGGATCTGTAAGTATTGTCTTCGTGAATGTTTACAGGAATTTTTGAGAGGATTGACTGCAAGGTTGGCGCGGTAGCTGCGCAACGTGTTAACTTCTTCAACTCTTTGTGTGATCCAAAAATTGTTGTTCCGGGTCTGGGTGTGATGTGTAGGTGAAGTTGGAAATTGTATGTTCCTCAACGCACCTACAGCACAGGAGAAAATCCTTATGTAGGGCAACCTCGACCCGCAACCTCTCACGCCGGTTTTCTGTAAGGCCGTGGCTCGTGGCGAATCATGGCTCTCCCACACTTTTATGACATAGATTGGCAGACGACAGACGATCAGACAGGTTACCTGATGGTAAGCAATCAGTGCTGCCCATGGGCACTCGTAATTCCATAGGAGTTTCTACAAACGCTTTGCCGACCTCTTGTGGGTTATTAGGGATTCAGTTAGTGGAATTGGGGATTGAGGATGGACTGTTGGAAGATGGGGAAGATTTTATGATGTTTATAAATTTGTTTAAGGATATACTTCGATAAATATTACGTACGTCCTGCCTGTTTGGATATGAAGTCTCAACCAGATTTCTATGCTGAAGCTACAGGTTGGGGCGCCCTCGGTCACAACCAGGATCTCGCAGATACCCTGCAAACAGTAAGATCCTACCACCTTTTTAATGTATCCAATTAGACTCGCCAGATGTCGCTAGTTTAGCTTATGGGCGTTTCGTTCCATCACTATAGTTTATTTATTATATTTTCGGCTTACTCACGTAATAATTTGACGAGATACTCGACTAGTTTCAAGCCATGCTAGAGGCCCATATTCATGAGCAGAATTCCGCGACACGCGACTCGGCGACTGTCGCGCTGCTACTGGCTACTCGAGTCTGCGCGCCCAACGCGCCCTCTGCCACGATTCACGCGCACTTTCTTCTATCCGTGGTGTCGGCAGCGACGGCGCGCGCGAAAATGTTGGCACGCTAGACCCGCCCTCGATTACGTGAGTAAGCCGAAAACATAATAAATAATTTAGAATGTCTCACGAAAGTTATAAATCACTATAGTTGTCATAAAGGAGATTGATCAAACAGTTATGGTATTTGGTTAAGCTCTGTTTTGGCGCATTATAGTAGTGAAAAGTTAATTTATACTTGCATGCCTCCTGGTAAAACATGGCTGGGTTCGTAATTTACCAAACTAAACACGACCTCTTTTTTATTTATGTAATAGGTCGGCAAACGAGTAGACGAATTACCTGATGGTAAGCAATCACCACCGCCCGTGGACACTGGCAACGGAGTAGTTACGAGTGCGTTGCCGACCTTTTAGGGATTAGGGATTTACAGATTTAGGAATTGTGAAGGGATTGGGGGAGGGGAAGGATTGGGCCTCCGGTAACCTCACTCACGGCGAAACTCAACGCTGTGGTTGTTTCACGCCTCTACATTTGCATACAAATACCTTTATCTTTAAAAAGAAAATTGGACAGAGGTAATTTTTTTCGATATTCGCTATTGGAACAGGATCCTGATGACACCTTTACTCTTGACCCATTAGCTCCACCAAATGAGCAAAAAGGGTAGCGTATGTAAAATAAAAATGACGATCGATGCTCTGTCTCGCTCTGACGCGCTTTGGTTGTTGAACCGAGATCTCAACAATCAGTTAGTTCCTTGATGATGATGATGATCATCATCATCATCATCAGCCTATAAGTGCCCACTGCTGAGCAAAGGCCCTCTTCTCATACGGAGAAGGTTAGAGCATTAATCACCATGCTTGCTCAATGATGGTTGGCATTTTCAAACTTAGCAATTAAAGTCCAGGTTTCCTCACGATGTTTACCTTCACCTTATGTCAGTGGTGGCCGAATAATCATAGAAAGTACTTACGACTCGGAAAAAGTCACATTGGTACTTGCCAGGTTTCGATCCTCATGCATGAGAAGCCCTTTAACCTCCGGGCCACATAATCATCCAATTAATTGTTTTTAGGTGACCCTTCGGAAGTTTGACGCTAAGACATGCTCCCTACTGTACCCCAAGCATAGACATTTAAGATATGGCTTTGATGAAGACACTCAATTGTGCTATGGAGCTGAAGACGATCCGAAAGATACCTGTCAGGTAAAATTATAATTATTATTAATTCTAACAGATTTTTATGGGATAATTCGTCAAACTAGCTGCCTTTGGGGATAAGGGTTTCGGATATTTAAGGATTAGGAAGGGATGGGAATAGGGGAGGGATTGGGCTGACTGTCTTAGATACAGGGATGACGACTAAAAAATAATAATTAGTCCATCTTTTAGAACGCCAGAAAATAGTAGAAACGTATTTTTTCTTTTGCTTCTAAAACTTAAAATAACAAACTTACAGAGCGGCGAAAGTCCGCGCTACGTCATTATTTCGTAATTTTTTTACGAAAAAGTGACGTCACAAGCCACTACTCCTGAATTTGAATGTGCTGTATCTATGTCAATATTATTCGTATGGACAGATAAAAAAATACGTATCGAGTATTTTTCTACAATCTAACTGACGGACTAATTAGAATCTTGTTGTTTTAACCCAGGAGACATCCCTATTATCTATCCCTATTTACCCCCTTTTTGTGTCTTTTCACGCCTCGATATTTATAAACCTTGTTTCACTGTTACATATTTATCAAATGTTTATTATTACAGGGAGACAGTGGCGGACCCCTACAAGTTAAGAATGGACATCAATGTTCCTACTCAATCCTCGGAGTCACATCCTATGGAAGGCAATGTGGAAAAACAGCTGGTTCCGGAGTTTACACCAGGGTGTACCATTATTTACCTTGGATTGAGAATATTGTGTGGCCATAAAAGTATTAAACTATTATAACTGTACTATAAGTATTTAAGAATAGAATCATTATCATCATCAGCCGGAAGACGTCCACTTCTGGACAAAGGCCTCCTCCTTAGCTCTCCACGTCGAACGGCAAGTTGCCACCTGCATCTATTGGCTTCGCGCGACTCTGTACTGATATATAAGAGAATTTATTTTATTTATTTATTTAGGCTTACCAACTAAGACACATACAGTCAATCTTAAAAATAAATAAAACAACAGTTAGTGTATGCTCTTAAATTAAAGGTAGGCTCAACATTATTTTTAGGTTGTTCAAGTAAAAGAGTTAAAAATTAAAAGTAATTAAAAATAAAAGAAATTAAGAAATTGGGTAAACCATAAGAAAACTGTAAAAAATTAAAAATTATAAAAATTAAAAATTAGGCAAACTCTTAATGTCTCTTTTAAATACACTTATTTTACTTGCAAATATATCCAAGTCGTGTTTTTTATAAATGTCATTACACTTTCTGAGAGTATAGGTGAGAGGTGCGTTGCTGCCATACTTATTTCGGGTATGTTTCGTGACGAATGGGGTACAATTTACTAGCCTAGCTGAAGACCTTGGTACTTTTATTTGAATATGTATACTTACCTAATTTAGAGCTGATTTTTCAATGATTAGATAAAAGTTACCTAGGGGAATAATTATGATGCTGTCGCGTCAGAATGTTTGTATAAGACAGTGACAGCAACAATTTTATTCCTCAGATAACATATATCTGACTATTGAAAAATCAGCCCTTTGAAAATTATACTTTTAAAGTAGTCAATGTACTTATATAAGAGGGTATGATGGTGCTGACATATCTTTGATAAAAGCCCCTTAATGAAATTGGAATAAAAAAAGAAAATATATGTAAAGAAAGTCTAGTGCGTGTGTATGGAATCCTTTTGAGAAGCATTCCTTAGGTACCTACCTTTACAAGCACGAGTACGGGTTTTACCCCTATTTGTATCCAACCAATTTTCTGCTGGAATGCTTAAATTTCAACTCAGATCAGATGACTAGTATTTAAAATACTTAGAGGGCTTATTGATGATCCCGAACTGCACAATGAGATATGCAACGTGTTTATCCCAGACAATTACTGTCGTGGCAGAAGGCATCGGCTGTTGGCGGTTCCGACCAGCCGAACTATTGCTCACTCCAAGTCACCTATTCCTCGGACATTAGCGGCTATTAACACTCTCCTGAACTCAAACAATGACGTCGATGTGTTTGTGGATGACTGGAAGACGATACTGTCAGAGTGTTTGAAGTTTTGTGAGAAGAATGCGTGACTAAATTCAGTAAAGTGCATGTTTAATGAATTTATTATATTATTTGTTATATTTTGTCTTGTTTGTTCTAATAGGTTAATGTGGTTTACAAATGTTTAAATAGTGTAATTGGCTTCTGTCGTTCTATTTAAATAAATAAATATGTAAGTGTGGGAGAGCCATTTGTGCCAGTGCCAGTTGTGTTTTATCGTGTGAATGAGGTTACTGTAGGCCCAATTCTTCCCCTCCCCCATCCCTCCCCAATCCTAAAATACCAGACGGCAATGCATTTGTAATTCCTCGAATGTTGTGAGTGCACGTAAGCGGTTCCGATTGCTAACCTAAGTTTTTAAAAACGTCATTTTCAAACGTCACTGTCACTGTCATATTTCTTATCTGTCAATTTGACAGCTAGTTAGGTAAATATAATACATACTGGAAATACTAAAATTAAACAAATGAAATTATTTCGTTTTGTATAGAAACTATTATGAGACAAACTTTTTTTATTAATAAATAATAATTTACTCGCGTGAAATAACGGAGAAAAGTAACTGGGTTATGTGGGCTAAGCGACGTGGCCGCGACGCGCACTGTTATAGAGTTAGGCGATTTGCAATAATTCTAATATACTTAATAATGAAATTGCCGTTCTGCAGAGTACTGGCCATTTCCGGCAATTTCGTAGGTAAAGACCTATTATTAAGTATATTAGAATTTTTGCATTAAATCACAAATGATTACATAAAACGTCACTAAATGTAAATGTGTAAATGACACTGCATGAGAGATACACTGGATAAGATAAAAGCACTGAATGAGAAAGTCACTGGATGAGAGAGTCGCCGGATGAGGAAACCACTGGTTAGATCGGATTATTAATTAGTACTGCCCGCTGTCCCACGAATAAGAGTCACGTTATGACTTGAAATTAGTAGCGATTTTCTCAGTTAATTCAAGTGAGTGAAGTTGTTAATTGAAGTAAAAAATGTAATTAAAAATAAATTAAATGTTAGAGAAAATATTTAGTTTTAATTCCGACAGTAAATTATTATTGTCGCGGAATTAAAACTAAATATTTTCCCTAACATTTAATGTCACGGATTTCCGCAAAGTAACGCCTGATTCTATAAATTAAAAATAAATTATTAAACTTCACTATTTTTATTATTTAAGTACTTACTTTTCCCCCTAGCTTTGCTCCCGTTTTACCTGAACCTATTGTCCTTTTTTGGGTTGAGGTCGATCATTAAATGACTTCTCCTGCACTGGGGAGGGAACGCCAGGATCTTACTGACGAAAAACCAGCCCGTTCCTTTTCCTACTTCAGGAACTTGGTTAGTTTGACGCACAATCCCGGCTTACTTACCTATCCTACCCAATGATATTATAAGTAACCTTTTTACTTATAATATCATTGATCCCACCTTTTTTCATAACAAAACTTATCCTACCAATAAAAAATAAAACAAAAAAGAAAACGCTTTTGATTTTTATGTTGTATGTTTACGAACAGATGTATTACCTGATGGTAAGCAATCAGCGCTACTTGTGGGCTGCAGCTACACCAGAAGAGAAAGAATGCATTCCCGACCTGGCCATTAGGATTTCAGAGAATTACAGCTTACGTGAGACCAGTGTAAGACTAATATTTAACGAAAACAAACAGAAAAACGTGCATCCAGTGCAATATTTTTAATTTTGCTTAGGTATAAATGCAACGTGATTTATTAAAATTTTTCCTTATAGAACTTGTTTTTCTTGTCAAATGGTCCATACAAGTAATAATATTTTAAATACATTAGTAAGAGTATTTATAACACATTTATGTACTCAAGCAATTTTTATATACAACTGGCTACTGTCCCGCGGTTTCACCGCTGCTAGGTTCCTATTGGTAGTGTATGTAGTAGGTTAATGTTTTATAGCCTATAGCATTCAGGAACATTGTAGCTATCTAACAGTGAAAGAATTTTCGAAATCGGGCCAGGCAGCGTTTCTAAAGATTACCCTTACATACAAACTTACTATACTATATCTATACCTTGGAAATGTGGGAGGGCCATGCCTCGGCTCGACCAGTGTCTCGGAGGCTCACAGAAAACCGGCGTGAAACAATTACAGCGTTGTGTTTCGCTGCGTGAGTGAGGTTACCGGAGGTCCAATCTTTTGCTCCAATCCCAAAATCTCCAATCCCAGAAATTGTGGCTACGCACTCGTAACTCCTCCGTTGTTGCGTTTTTCTATGGGCGGCGCTGATTGCTTACCATCAGGTAATCCGTCTGCTCGTTTGCCGACCTATACTATACATAAACACAAAGACATAAGATTTAGTTTTCAATATTGATTCAATTAATTATATTAGTATACTTATCTCATGAATGCAAATTGTTTAAAACCGGATTTATTTAAATAAAACCTAAAAAATAGGTACTAAATTGGTGATATCATGCAATATACATATTTAAATGTTAATTTCTGACCGTCTGTCTTGTCTTATTAAAAAATATTAATAAACGTAAGTCTTTCATTGGACTAGTCCATGACAACCTCCCAAAATCGCTGCAACTCCTGTGCACCAGGATCTACAGTAGATACAACCATGACAACACCGGAACACTAAAGTCCGGCGCGTCCCAGGGACATGAATGACTGTCTTGCATCCCGCAACGAAATAAATCAGAAGATTTTATTTGAGGAGAAGAAAATACCACTTCCCTCTTCAAATTTAATAAATGCAGGAGACAGAATGACTTAAGCCAAAGAGACTGTACAACTGGGAGAAGCCCAGTCACCAAACACTACGGTCAATTTACTATTATAATGGGACCTACGGTCCCCTCAAAATTGTTCGAATACAATTCACCGAATTGCAATTCATCGAATGGTAATTCGGTGAACGACGGCCTCACAGAAAACCGGTGTGAAATAACCACAGCGTTGTGTTGTCCGTGTCCGTCGCCGTATGAGTGAGGTTACCTGAGGCCCAAACCCTTCCCCTCCCCAATCCCTCCTCAATCCCTAAATATCCGCAACCTTTATCTCCAAAGGCCGGCAACGCAGTCATAAGTCATAACTCCTTTAGTGTTGCGGGTGTCCACGGGCGGCGCCGATTGCTTACCATCAGGTAATCCGTCAGCTCTTTTGCCAACTTATCTCACAAAAAAATCTAGTTGTAGCCAGCATTTGTTTTTTATAATTTCTATCCAATCTGACGGTCATCGGAGACAGTTGCTTAATAAGTTAATAAATAAATATTATTATCTAAGGTTATCGCAATCACAGGGAGGGCACCATTTTAAGAAATTACAAAATAAATGAGTCGTATATTATATTATAATCAATAACTACTTAAGTGTCAGAGCATATTTTTTTTTCACTCTTGGTCGAAGTCAAAGTCAAAGTCAAAATAATTTATTTCAATTAGGCATTTTAAACGTCAAACAAAATTTTAAAGATGTAAAGTGTCAGTCTGTCGGCCAGTCCTCTTAGTGAAGCTATTCGCTCGTTCCAAAGTGTAGATTCCGATGGAGAAGAACGATCAAGAAACTCCATGGTTACTTTTTTCAATCAGTGCCACATAAAGATTCTTAGATACATTATTTACTTGGTTTGATTATGTGAGAACAGTGTAACGCGTGTATACAGAGAAACATAAAAAGAAAATAACCTTAAGGACAATAGACAGTCCGGAGCTGACCAGTCCCAATTGACGGCGCCCGTTCACGAACATGGCACGTACACCAGCATGGCCCAATTCAACCATAATATAGGGGATGGAGCGATCCAGTGACCGTGCCACCGTCAATGTGACTAGGTGGCAAAGGAGCTGATTGCTTACCATCAGGTAATCAATCAGCGCCGTCCATGGACACTCTTCATACAAGTGCGTTGCCAACTTCTGTATGTTATTAGGGATTTAAGGTTAGGGGATATGGTGATTGAGGATGAGAGAGGAAAGATTAGGGCTCCGGTAACCTCAGAGACACAGCGAAACATAATATAAGTGTTTCACGCCGGTATTCAGTGAAGCCGTGGTATAACTCCGGTTGAGCCAGCCCAGCAGTGCTAAGCACGTTTCTGTGTCTGGATTTAAGGTGAATGAGAAATTGTTTTCTTGTAAACTTATGAATAGAATAACACAGGACAAACCCCTAGTCTGAGATGGCGGTCAACACAAAGAAAAAAACTTAATCACACACTAGGATTTTTTCCTGTTTTTTGTCAGGGGAAAACCATCAAATGACTTCTCCCGCCCAAGGCCGGGCCGGAGGGAGTGTCAGACTCTTACTGACTAAAACCCCCTATTCCTGCTCCTGCTCTGGGCCGAGGTCGCGGTGCCTCATTGCGGTTACCCTGCAACCCCGGCTGAACATCATCCCTATAGGGCCCCGTCTGTGGTGGTCTATTGGCTCTTTGAGGCGCGCGCGGAACGCTACGCGCCGTACGCTCGGGTCTGGTTCTGGTAGAGCGGCGAGTTGCTGTTTAGTTAGTGCGTTTCCAAATTCAGATTAGTACACCCTAAATCTAGACACGAAACAACAATTTTCTGAACCACACAAATGGTTATTTCACGTAGGAACGTTGGCTACGACTGGGCTCTGCGCGGTGCGCTACTCCACGGCGTCGGCGTCATTTGTTACGCCGACGATACGCTAGTTACAGCGCGTGGAAAGTCGTACCGGCAGGCGGCCATACGCGCGACTGCTGGTGTCGCGCACGTCGTGGGTAGGGTCCGGCGGCTGGGCTTAGAGGTGGCATTGCACAAATCGGAGGCCCTGTGTTTTCATGGGCCGAGGATGAAGCCGCCTCAAGGATCCAGCATTATAGTAGGAGGGGTTTCCATCGCTGTTGAGTCCACGATGAAGTACCTCGGACTCGTTCTCGACAGTCGGTGGAATTTCGGGCCGCACTTTACACGGCTCGCCCCCCGGTTGATGGGCGGCGCTGCTGCGCTGTCGCGCTTGCTGCCCAACCAGGGGGGGCCCATCTCCTCCTGCCGGAGGCTCTACATGGGGGTCGTACGGTCGATGGCGTTATACGCTGCGCCAGTATGGGCGGACACCCTGACGGCCCGCAACATCGCCGCGCTGCGTAGGCCACAGCGCGCGATGGCTGTCAGGATAATCAGGGGATACCGTACGATCTCCTTTGAGGCAGCGAGCCTCCTAGCCGGATCCCCGCCCTGGGACCTCGACGCAAAACTCCTCGCGTCGCTCTATTGGTGGCCCGCGGAGGCAGTCGAGCGGGGCGAGCGCCTGGTGCCTCGACAGGTTGAGGCACGCAGGGCAGAACTCCGCCAGGCCTTAATGGCGGAGTGGCAGACGCGCTTAGCGCAACCCACGGCGGGGCACGCCGCTATAGAGGCGGTAAGGCCCGTTCTAGAGGAGTGGCTCAATAGGAGCCACGGCGCCCTCAGTTTCCGGCTGACGCAGGTGCTTACTGGACACGGGTGTTTCGGGAAGTACCTGTGTCGCATAGGTCGGGAGCCGACGTCTCAGTGCCACCATTGTGGTGATTGCCGCGACGATACGGCGCTGCATACCTTGACGGAGTGCCCAGCTTGGGCCGAGCAGCGTCGTGACCTGGTCGCGGCCGTAGGTGCTGCGGGAAATCTCTCGCTTCCGGCTGTAGTGTCTTCTATGGTCGGGAGCGAGTCAGGGTGGAGAACCGTCGCTACCTTCTGCGAGGCCGTGATGCTCGCAAAGGAGGCGGCGGAAAGGGAGAGAGAGGCTGCCTCCTCACTCCCCTCCCGCAGCAGACGCACCAGACGTCGTAGGGTGGCCGACCTGCGGCCACCGTAGGGCGCGGCCTGTGGACGACAGACTCGGGGCGTCTTGTCGTCTGACCAGCAGCAGGCCTCGAGGCGGCGGCGCCGTGTTCCGCGCGCGCCTCATAGTGGAGTCCTGCGGTCGGGGTGACGGCCGCAGTGGGTGACGGGGCCCGCCTTACCATCTGGCGGGCCAATACCCGTCGGGGGGTTGCGACGAATGCTTCGGCGATACCCGCCCCTCCGACACATGGGTTATTGGAGGAACACCGGGTTGGTTTTTTGTCAGTAAGAGTCTGACAGTACCCTTCGCCCTTACCCGAGGGCGGTGGGTCTCCATGAGGATTTTCCAACCCGAAACCAAAAAAAAAAAAAAAAAAAACCCAAACCGCTGCGACAACTCTACGGTCAATCACTGCATAGTATAAAACAAAGTCGCTTTCTCTGTCCATATATCCCTATGTATACTTAAACCTTTAAAACTACGCAACGGATTTTAAGGCGATTTCAATAATAGATAGAGTAATTGAAGAGGAAGGTTTATATGTATAATGACATCCCTTAAATAGTGGAGATTTTTTGTATCAGCACTGAACACGTGCGAAGCCGGGTGGGTAGCTAGTCTATATACATATATATGTATATAAAAGAAAGTCGTGTTAGTTACTCCACTTATAACTCAAGAACGGCTGAACCGATTTAGCTGAAAATTGGCAGGGAGGTAGTTTAGAGCTAGGAGAAGGACACAGGATCGGGTAGGTTAGATAGTGTAGGTTAGGTAAAGTAGGGTAGGTAGTGTAGGGTAGGTAGTGTAGGGTAGGTAGTGTAGGGTAGATAGATTAGGGTAGATAGAGTAGGGTAGTTAGAGTAGGGTAGGTAGAGTAGGGTAGGGTAGGTAGAGTGGAGTAGGGTAGGTAGTCAAATGACGGGAGCGAGGCCGCGGGTAAGAGCTAGTTTTATATATAAAAAAAAGAACATAAACGAAGTCACTAAAAGAGACTTATTTATTGACAATATTATCTACCTATATATATTATGAACATTATACCTATATATATGTAATAAAATAGGTAATGATTATCATTCGCCGTTCGGTGTTGGAGTTAAACACATGTTTGAGCGAACATGTTAAAATATATTATAATATGTTTGTGCGTTGGTCTCAGTGGCGTTATAGGTGACCTGAATAAGGAAGAAGGTATGTTTATCCAGATTTTTTTGTTATATATTTGATACCCCCGACGCAAAAAGAGGGGTGTTATAAGTTTGACGTGTCTGTCTGTCTGTGGCATCATAGCTCCTGAACGAATGAACCGATTTCAATTTAGTTTTCTTAGACATGTTTGATGAAAATCGATTGAGCCTTTTAAAAGTTATGGGGGTTAAAGTGGGGAAGAAAAATCGAATGTCTGCAAATATGCTCAAGTGGGGGTATCATAAAATGAAAGGTTAGGACTTGTACGTCACAAAAAACAAAAACTTTAATAAGTTTGACGTGTCTGTTTTTTTACTATTTAAAGTACTTAGCTTAATTGTTTCTTATGTCGGGGATTTTTTTTTTGAATTTTAAGTTTATTGTGTGATAGGTCGGTAAACGAGCGCACGGATTACCTGATGGTAAGTAATCAGCGCCGTCCATGAATAACCTCAAAAACGGAGGAGTTACGAGTGCGTTGTTGACATTTGAGGATAAGGGATTTGGAGGTTTAGGATTGGGTCTCTGGTAACTTTGCTCACACGGCGAAACACAACGGTGGCTGTTTCACGCCGATTTTCAGTGAGGCCGTGGTATCACTCCGGTCGAGCCGACCCATTCGTGCCGAAGCATGGCTCTCCCACAATTTAATAATTATTTATCGTTGATTTTTTCTCATCAACTTCTCGCGGCCCCCACTCGGAGAAGAAGAAGGAACGGGGTAGCTTTTAGTCAGTAAGAGTCTGATTGAATAGATTTTTATTTCCTTACATTTGTTATCATTACTGGAATCCAATTTGGTGCAGGAGTTTCGGAGTTCTACGATGACAATCATACATGACAATACCTACTTATTTCATTATTTTAACATTATTTCTGGAGGAAATAGAAAAAAATTAATATCTACACTGTAAATTCGGGTTAAGTACATTGGCCCTTTATTGGATAGGGGTATTATCAAAATAAATATTTTAAATTCAAAATGACATTGAAAGTCTCAACGACCAAGTCAAAACATTTGCATCAATTTGACCTTTGAGGTTAAAAAAGTCGCGTTTGAGGAAACTCAAACGAAATATATCACTATTATTCTTTGAATCCGGTCTTTTTATGTACTTACTCAATACTCAATATACAATTTTATTCTTTACTAGCGGACCGCCCCTGCTTCGCACGGGTTGGTATCCGACTACCCCGTCAGTCATTTGTTTTTTTAGCAAACGACCTCAGCTCCGAAAGGATTGTTAAATCCCGATATTCCCCTTTACTTTTCTAAATTTTTCTTTCGTAAGAACCTTCTCCTTATAATAACGAATATAACAAAAAAAGAATTAATAAAATTGGTCCAGTCGTTATAGAGTTATGCGCTTACCAACACATTTTGCGATTCATTTTAATATTATAGATTGCATTCCATAATGTTGCCACAAACAACAATTTTTGGCAGGTCACAAAGTGGACCCTGCTGGGCACAGCAAAAGATATCTATACTAACTAATATTATAAAAAGATAATTGATTGCCAAAATTCTTTCACTGATAGATAGCTACAATGTTCCTAAGTGCTATAGGCTATAAAACATCACGCTACGATTAAATGAAGCAGAGCAGCGGGTGAAACCGCGCGCGAGGAGCTAATAATATTTTAAAGAGATATTTGTAAGTTTGTATGTAGGGGGTAGTCTTTGGAACCGCTGGTCGGATTTTCAAAATATTTCACTGATAGATAGCTACAATGTTTCAGAGTGCTATAGGCTATAAAACAGCACGCTACGATTAAATTGAGCCAAGCAGCGGGTAAAACCGCGCGAGATAAGCTATATTTCATTCGTGTACGGGAAGTAGTTTAAAAGACTTATTATTTAAGAAAAATGGCTGTACTAAGTAATGAAATAATATTTTAATTTTAGGAGCTCCTTGCGAGTGGGATGGCGTCCAGGGCCAATGTGTGAAAGAGACAAGATGTCTGACAACATTGGACACGCGTGGCGACAAACATTTGGTAAGTTTTTTATGTAGTTTTTTTTTTGTGAGGGGAAAATCATCGGATGACTTCTCCCGCCCAGGGCCGGGCAGGAGGGAGTGTCAGACTCTTACTGACTAAAAACCCCCCTGTTCCTTCTCCTGCTCTATGCCGAGGTCGCGGTGCCTCATTGCGCTTACCCCGCAACCCCGGCTGAACATCAGCCCTTTAGGGCCCCGTCTGTGGTGGTCTAATGGCTCTTTGAGGCGCGCGCGGAACGCTACGCGCCGTACGCTCGGGCCTGGTTCTGGTCGGGCGGCGAGCTGCCCTTACTCGCCGACCGCAGGCCCGTGCTTACGGTGGCCGGAGATCGTCCCTTGATCCCCGACGCCCGTAGTGTCGCCAGTTGCGGCTGCTGGGGCGTGAGGAGGTGGATTGCTCCCTCACGCGGGCCGCCTCTCTCTTTGCGAGCATGACTGCTTCACAAAAGGAGGAGACGGCGTCCCAGTTCCTCTCACTCCGCACCATGGCCTCGACTAAGGCCGGGCGCGAGAGGTCGCCGCCGCCGATCACTTCCCTAAGGATACGGCGGTGCTCAGCCCAGGCAGGGCATACCGCTACCGTATGCTCCACCGTATCCTCTAGGTGGTCCTCACAATGACGACACTCGGGCGTTTCCTCCCGCTGGATCCGAAACAGGAACCTACCGAAGCTGCTATGCCCGGTAAGCACCTGCGTCAGACGGAAGGTGAGGACGCCGTGGCGTCAAGTTTTTTATGTAGTTAGGTCACTCCTTAAGTGTAGCCTTTGTTTGTCTTTGTCTAGCCATAAAACGTTGCTACCATCCGTGCGTCACTGCAGGGGTGCCCACTGAAAATCAGTGCTGGGATGTGATTCTGTAAGACTTCATTCTAAACTTCGAATCTGAATCCGCTGTGAGTAGTAGTACACTAGCGCTACACTTGCGAGTTGAACTAAATTGACCGCAACATTTTGATAGATAAAGTATGAGATGACGTTAAAAGTGACATTCTAAAATTTAATTTCCCCGCCACTTCGACGCTCACTTCGCACTCGAACAAGATTCAAAATCAAACAAATTTTATAGAATCGACGTGCTGGGCGACTTGTATGCCTAGCTTACACTGAGTGGGTAACCCATTTAGCATGGGCATGTTGTAGCGGCTATTTTCTGTTTCATCTGTTTTAATCTTTAACTCATGTTTGTCTTACTTCTACTTTTTTTTATGTGATAGGACGGCAAACGAGCAGACGGATTACCTGATGGTAAGCAATCGGCGTCACCCATGGACACCAACAACAAATAAGGAGTTACGAGTGCGTTGCCGACCTTTTAAGGATTGGGATTTTGAGGATTTTGGGACTGGGAAGGATTGGGCCTCCGGTAACCTCACTCACTTGAAGGTTTCTTTTTCTTTCTTTACCCCAGAAGACCTTTTTCGAATTCTTAATCAGCTCATAACACCATTTTTTTGTTCTAGGTATGTTCCAAGCAAGGAGATGTGAATATTGTTTGCTGTACCGACTGTCTTCTGGTCAATGACACAAGGTAATTGTTGGTCTTCTTATGAGGTAGGGAGGAAACCAGGTGGAGCCCAAACTTCTCCCTTTTCCATGAGGCGGTTATTTTCTAGACTATCTCACCTTAACTGTTGTTCTTCTTGCAGAAACGTCGTAATGAGCCCCCAAACTGGCTACTTTTGGAAGGACGGAACCAAGGCCAGAGATGGTAAGCGTAGTTAATATATTCCAAAAATCAGCTCAAGACGAATTGGGGATTTCCTGTAATGATAGTCAGGGTTGCGGGTTAAGCGCAATATTGTCCCGCGGCCTTGGCCTGTAGCAAGAGAAGGAACGGGGAGATTTTTAATTTGTAAGAGTCTGATACCCCCTTTTGCCCTTGACTTCTCCCACCTAGGGAGGGAGTGTCAGACTCTTACTAACTAAAAATCTCCCTTCTCCTGCTCGGGGCCGCGGTGCCTCTTACCCCGCAACCCCAGTTGAACATCAGCCCTATAGGGCCCCGTCTGTGGTAGTCTATTGTCTTTTTGAGGCGCGCGCGGAACGCTACGCGCCGTACGCTCCGGTCTGGTTCTGGTCGGGCGGCGAGCTACCCTTACTAGCCGTCCGCAGACCCGCGCTTACGGTGGCCGGAGATATGTATGAGACCCGTGCATGTTCATTCTGTAGTGGTCTTTTGACGGAGTAGAATGTTTGTAACTTCGACTTTTTACTTTGCAGCCTGCCTCGAGTACTTGAAGACTTTGCCATACCGATGCCGTGATGGTGGCTTCTACTCCTTAATTACCAAATCGTATGATGAAGAGAAAAAGTGCCACAATGAAGGATTAATGGGGGTCGGGGGCGCCCCCCCTCCGGGGTATGAGCCTGGGGCTAAATATCCTCATCAGGTATGTTATAATTTGATGATGGTTGACAGATGACGGATGCTAGATGATGGATGATGGGTAAGCATGGTGGATGATGGATGATGGATAATGGATGATGAGTGAAGGATGTTTATTATATATTTATTTTTTTTAATATTTTATTTAATATATTTATTTAAAATTTATTTATTTTAAAATAATTATATTTTATTTAATAAGGACGGCTTATTTTGACTTCAAAAAGGCTTTTGACACCGTGGACAATGATGTCTTATTGAGGAAGCTGGCTGATGTTGGCTGTACACCACAACTGTTGCAGTTCTTTGTCAGCTACATGAAAGACCGTCAGCAGTATGTTGACTACAATGGCGTCGTATCGGAGCCGTACTACACAAGGTCTGGAGTAAGCCAAGGCAGCAACTTGGGACCTCTTGAATTTATCATCATGATAAACAGCTTGCCTGAAGTAGTCAGACATGCTACATGTTTATTGTTCGCAGATGACCTCAAGTTGCTGCTCGAGGTAAGGGACGAGTCGGACTGTGCACGACTCCAGGATGACATTGACAGAGTGGTGAAGTGGAGTCATGACAATAAACTATACTTCAATGTATCCAAATGCTCGGTAATATCCTTTACACGTTCGCGAAGCCCTGTCTGCTATGAGTACAAAGCAGAGGCAACACCCATGACGCGAGTGACACAGGTGCGTGATCTGGGGATTCAACTCACCCCAGAGCTCACGTTTCGCGAGCATATTATTAATATATGTAAGAAGGCGTACAGAAACCTAGGCTTTGTACTTAGGCAGTCGCAGGGCTTTACGAATATAACAACAGTGAGGGTATTATACGACGCATTAGTTAGAAGTCACTTGGAGTGTGGTGCTGTCATATGGGCTCCATACGAAGCCAAGTACTCTGTCATGCTGGAGCGCGTACAGAACAAATTCACGCGCCACTTGTACTGGAGGCTGTATGGGGTGTATCCTCTGTACCCCCTAATGTACCCCACATTGTTTGTGCTGGGTATGGTCGGGTACAACCAGTTAAAGGTGCGGCGAGAGTTTGCACTTGTTGTATATTTAATTAAATTACTCGGTGGCAAGGAGCACAATCCCGGAGTTCTACGGTGTTTGAGCCTCTGTGTGCCGGATAGATACGTGGAGAGACGACGACGCCCGCCACTGCTGTCAGTGCCAACCGCCAGGACCAACCTCCTGGCCAAAACGCCTCTCACGCGAGCAATTCGTATTATAAATGAAATCCACAACAACATAGATATTTTTTCGTGTCAGTTCAGTGAACTCGCAAGGATGACTTTATTTATATTATGTTATAAGATAGATTAGGCCGTAATTTATTGTTTATGTGTTTTATTTTGTTGTTTTTGTATTGTTTGTTTGTTTTTGTATGTCTTTTTAATTAACCAAGAAGGGTGTGTGTCTGTTTATGTTTTTATGTTTTAATTGTATTTTTATAATGTTTTATTTAGTTAAGTGCCTCACTAACGCATTGGATTAGTCTGTAATGTTAGTGTTAAGGATGATAAATAAATAAATAAATAAATAAATAAATAAATAAATGTTGGGTTGTGGATGATGGGTTAGCATGGTGGATGATGGATGATAGGTTAGGGATGATAGGTGCTGTTTGATGTATGATGGGTTATAATATAATAATAACGTTTATTGTGTCTAAAAAATATACACAAACAATATTGGGTTTAGAGTCTTTATTTAAGCAGATAATGCCTGTATTTAAAGACTCCGCTCCTTCACAACAGTAAGTACTTAGATTAAACACAATAAAAAAAAAGTAAATGGGGGTAATAATGTATGAAAATAATTATATGAACGTGTGCGTTCGAGTGCATGGGTTGGTTGTGTTGATGAATGTGTGGTGGTATGTGTGAATGAATGTGTGGCGTATTATTTGTGAATGTACGTGCGTGTGAGTCGTATACTTGTGTTAGGTAATGTTTTGCAGAAGAGCTTCAGTGTTTTCATATGTCAGTGTTTTAATCCAGTCCGTCAACATTTCCTTACATTATATGGTAAGACTTTGCATATACAAAAATTTCTTTATTTATTTTATTATATAGTTGTGCTGAACGTTTACAAAATTGCATAGAACCGAATTTGGTCTTAGTTTTAGGTACTTGAACTAAATCATGTTTTCTTCGTCTAGAGTGTACATATTTACTGTAAGGCAAGGATTTGTGCTTTTTTAAAACTATTTGAGTAATATACAGTTTCCTAACAGACAATACGTTGCTAAGTTTGTAGAGGTTTTCTGTAGAATATCTCCTTTTTTTTTAAATACATAATTTTGAGCAGGGCTCGTTGTGCTCGCTCCAATTGAATTAATTTAGATTTTGCTGCCCCATCCCAAATAGGAATACAGTATATCAGTATATTGATTGCGCAAGAGACAGGTATATTTGTGTGTGCATATTTCTGTCAGGTTTGTTGCTTCTCTGAATTAACCTAGGGTTGGGATGATAGACTATGGATGATAGATGATAAACATAGATTTGGATGGTTGGAGTTGGATCATTAGTGATGGATAATGGTCGGATGGTGAATGATGCCAGTTACTGGATGACGGATGTCGGTAAACGAATGACGGATGATGGATCATGAATGGCAGATGATGGTAGACCGATAACGGATTATGGTTGATGATCAAAAATATATTTTTAAATGTTTATAAATTGTTGAAATAATAAGTCCTGTCACTTTTTAGGCGTTGTTAGGATATGGAGACAGTTTGGAGACAGCCAAATGGCTGGCTGGAGGATCCATCATCAGCGACAAATTTATCCTGACTGCTGCCCACGTTAATAACTATTCACAAACGTAAGTTTTTTGTTATCACTTCATTAAAAACTAGCTGCTGCCTACCAACCTCGATAAATGTACTAAAAAACACAAAAAGAATTGTGATATTAACGCGTTCAAACAAACTCTACAGCTTTATAATATTATAGATATATTGTTGAGCCTCGTCCTTGAGTTTTATTACCTTGAGATTTATGGTTTTTTTCTTTGTTTTATTTTCTGTCAGCATTTTTTTTGTTTTTTTTTTAACTTTACATTTTCTTCTTTGCATATAAAAAACCTATAATAAGTAACATAGACCCGACCACATATTAAGCATGCTGTGGCAACCTATAATTAAGTCTACACTTAGCATAAGATTTAAGATATCATAAGAACATTGTAATTAGTGTAAGATTTGTTGGTTGTCCTAAATAAATAAATAAATAAAATAAAATAGTATAGACTAGCTATTGCCGCGCGGGTGCACCCGCTGCTCAGCTCCGCTTGGTAATAGGGTGATGTTTTATAGCCAACAGCACTAAGGAACATTGTATCTATCTATCAGTGAAAGAATTTTGACAATCCGACCAGCGGTTCCAAAGATTACCCCCTACATATAAACTAACAAATTTTTACCCCTCTTCATAAACTGGAAAAACGTTTCTTCAACCTAGTTTTAAAGATATCTACAATACACTACAATAGCCCGCATTGGAAGACAGATGTCTTATTCCTGGACCCCGATCCTTGGTAAACGAGAAGAGTGATAACCTGATGGTAAGCAATCAGCGCTGCCCGTGAACAACAGCAACAAAAAAGGACGTTGGAAGAACCTCCAAGTTTCATCGCTAGGTTGATATTTTTTTTTAATGTGATAGGGCAGCAAAAGGCAGACAGATTACCTGATGGTAAGCAAACGACGACGCCCATGGACATCCGTGGCAACGGAGGAGTTACGACGACCTTTTTGGGATTATAGGGATTTAGGGATTAGGGAGGAGAAGGATTGGGTCTCCGGTAACCTCACTCACATGGCGAAACACAACGCTGTGGTTTTTCACGAAGGTTTTCTGTGAGGCCGTGGTATCATTCCAGTCGAGACGACCTATTCGTGCCGAAGCATGACTCTACAGTCCCACACTTAGTCAATAAATTTTATCATCAGGAAAAAACTGCAGTTTGTCGCTCTTGGAGTGAAAAGGCTGTCAGACCCTGCATCATCCTGGCAGGTGCACCAAGTGAAGAGGTTCATTCCTCATCCAGAATATAAGTCTTCCACCAGATATCATGATATCGGCTTAATTGAGACGGAAAAACCGTAAGTACCCTACCTCTTAGTGTTTTCTAAACTACATGTTCCTTTTAGGATTATTTAGACACCACCTCACATCATTAGCCTGGAAGTGCCCACTGCTGAGCAAAGGCCTCTTCCCACACGGAGAAGGTTTGAGTATTAATCAAATACGTTTGCTCATGGTTGGATGGGTGATTTCAAACTACTAATACTACTACTATCATACGGTAATGGAAAACATAGCGAGCAAACATGAACTCAAAATTTATAATTACAAATTTGAAACGGGTTGGTAAATCCTCATGGAGACCCACCGCCGAGGGCGAGGTGTACTGTCAGACTCTTACTAACTGACTGACCAACCCGGTGTTACTCCATTTACCCATGTGTCGGAGGGGTGACAATCGCCGAAGCATTCGTCGCAACCTCCCCATGGGCCGTCACCTGCTGCCCGACCGCAGGACTCCACTATTAGGCGCGCGCGGAACACGGCGCCGCCGCCTCGAGGCCTGCTGCTGGTCGGACGACAAGACGCCCAGAGCCTGTCGTCCGCAGGCCGATACTTTAATTTCTCTCTTAACTCTCTTTATCAGATTTTAATATATTTATCACATTGATCGTCAGTCATAGGCCCTTTGACGAACGGTTTTCGAGGTTTAGGGATTGAGGCGGGAGAGGGGCAACACTGAAGATCTTTCCAACCGGTTTTCTATGAGACTCCATTCGTGCCGAAGCACTTGAACTACTCTTCCATCACAATAAGACTTCCCGTTTCCAGGATTTCCTTCAACAAGAATGTATTACCAGCTTGTCTGCACGTGGCTGCGGTTGAAGACAGCACTGCTATTGCAACTACATGGAGAGATCTGGAGAATTACAGCCAATTTGCTGATACCATTCAAACTGTAAGTCTTGTAGTATCTCCGGGATTTTGGGTCAAGCGCCACATATACTGCGACTGGAGAAGGAAAAGGAATGAGGTGGTTTTTTGTCACTAAGAATCTGACTCTCCTTCTCGGTCCATCCAGGGTGACAGAAGTCATTTGATGATTGTCTCACTGTCTCATTCGACGTCACCATCAGTTAACTGGACATCTACACTACACGAGTGACTGTTTACATGTGATCATTAGCTCATGACGATACCAGCGTCCGTGTCACTGGACAGTGAACCTCGCTACCATCAGTTGACTGGACATCGCTGTACTGGTCTGGGCGAGAGAGAGTGTCAGACTCTTACTGACTAAAAACCAACACGTTATTTCTACTGCTCCTGGCCGCAGAACATTATTTCATCAGCTCTATTGAATTTGGTGCCCATCTGTGGTAGTCTGTGGGCTATCGTCATCAGCTTATGTTTTTTTTCAGATTAATTTGGAGAAGTTTACAGAACAAGAATGCAACTCAGCGTATTCATCGCATAATTTACGGTTGAAAGAAGGTATAGATTACAAAACTCAAATGTGCTATGGAAGTAAAACTCAGGCGCCTGAAGCTTGCAAGGTATTCCATATGAGTTATTTTTTTTAATATCTACTAATGGGAAAGTATTTGGCCGCTATCACGCCTGGTAGTAAATGATGATGCGACCTACGATGGAGCACGACTACCCATAAGCAACCTATTCACTCGGACCTTAAAGGCACCCAGGTTATACCCTTCGGGGAATACGGATTCCGGCAAAAAAATCCACTCCTTAGCTGTTCTGATTCTGAAACTGGAGGCGAATTGCTTCATGCCTAGTACTAACCACATCTTTCAATCGAAAAAGAAGGGTTGATGGCTAGTACATAAAGATCGCATGGTCATCTACCAATTGATAGACCAATCACTTGACGACTGCACGGTTGGTGCGGTGGCTGGGCAACTGGCTGCCGTGCAACGTGTCGCGGGTTCGATTCCCGCACGGAACAACTCTTTGGGTGATCCACAAATTGTTGTTCCGGGTCTTGGTGTCTTGTGTACGTGAAAATGTATGTCTGTAACAGCACCCACGACACAGGAGAAAATCCTAATGTGGGGCAAAGTTTTTTGCAAAAAAGAAAACAAAAGAAAAAAAAAAAATCAACTGAAAACTCTTAACTTTAGGCGGTCGGAGTGTTGTATCGGAACTGATGGAGGCAGATCTTCCTCTCCAATTATTACCCTGATGCCAACCACGATCCTCTGATATTAAGGATTATACATAATTATGTCTATCGAGTAGACCTTAAAATTTTCTGTCACATCATCTTCACAGAGTCTTTTGGCAGAGCCATTGATAGACCACTGTTGAATTTGGCAGGCTAGTTGGAAATCGCAATTTTAAAGTCTTAAATAAACCCGAATAGTGAATCCGAGGTTAATTAGAAAGTGATTTTTGTATGGGTCCCAAAAATTTCAACTGAAGGTAAGCAATCGGAGTTGACAGTTTGCTACCGTCCTTTTTGGAGGATAGAGATTTGAAGATTGAAGGATTCTTGTGTCCAAAGATGAGATGGGAGGGGAGGCTGTGGAGGGGAAAGAATGGTGTCACTGGTGTCACTTATTCACACGGTGAAGCACAACTTAGTCGTTGTTTCACGTCGGTTTTCTGTGGGACTGCGCGATGCCATTCCAGTTGAGCCATCCTTAATCACGACTAAGCGTGTTCTGCAATTTTTAATCTTACACCCACGTGAAGAGAACAGATAGAAAACTATGCGCTCTGCTGGCATATAGTACTGACTTTAATTAATAATTTGTTTGCGGCTTACTCACATAATTGTTTGATGAGATACTCGACTAGTTTCAAGGCATGCTAGACGCCCATATTGTCTTTTGTCTTTTTTAAAAACTTTGCCCCACACTAGGATTTTCTCCTGTGTCGTGGATGCTTTCCGCTTACCGCAGACATGGGGGTCCGCGCTCTTACATGCTATTTAGTTATTGTTTACAATTTTATTACATTATATGTGACATCGTCATGTCCTCACAACTTTCAACGTAAAAACTTAAACTTAATTTGTAACTAAAACTAGAAGTCCACCGCATATATAGATAATTTATTAGTTATATATAGGTATATATATATTTTTTTCTTGCCACGCTTAATTCTAATTATCAGGCCTTATAATAATAATAATAAATACTATGTTTACACATCACGTTTGTATATTTAAAATTTTTGGGATGAGGATATTGGGATCGGTAGGATGGAGGGGTGGGCTTATATCCCGCCAGCGACCAGGGATTTCGCGAGCGCCAGAAGGGGCACCACGACAGTGGCGTCTCGATGCTGCATGGCCGTCATTAGGTTATGTAATCGACGACCGTTTTAGTTGACCCGCGGCACGTTGCGCGGCAGCCAGTTGCCCAGCCACCGCGCCAACCGTGCAGTCAAAATATTCATGAGCAGCATTCCGCGGCACGCGACACGGCGACTGTCGCGCTGTTACTCTCATTATAATAATTAATTAAGTATGTTTCACGAAATGTCTAATAAAAATACTGACTTTAACTTTCCTATTTTTCCTTGCAGGGTTTATCTGGTGAACCTTTACTGGTGGAAAGACAGTTCTCTACCTGCATCTACACCATAATTGGTATAACTTCATTCGGATCAGCTCGCTGTGACAAAGCATCATTACCTGACGTATTCACCAGGGTAGCTTATTACAAACCCTGGATCGAGGAACAGGTTTGGGGTTAGAAGGAACAGAAGACATTGATTCAGAAGAAAACTGCTATATGTAGGGTTTTTAGTGACTGGCATTTACACACGTGGTTGTACTTATAATAAGAAACAACTTTCTCAAAAAAACAATTTTGTATGTAACACGATAGTTTTTTTTGTTATGTAATAAGTCGGCAAACGAGCATACGTATTACCTGATGGTAAGCAATCAACACAGACTCCGGCATGGACACCCGCAACGGAGGAGTTACGAGTGCGTTGCCGACCTTTTAGGGATTAGGGATTTGGAGATTTAGGGATTAGGGAAGGGTCCGGGAAGGGGAAGGATTGGGCCTCCGGTAACTTCACTCACACGGCGAAACACAACGCTGTGGTTGTTTCACGCCGGTTTTCTGTGAGGCCGTGGTCGAGCCGACCCAGCCGTGCCGAAGCATAGCTCTCTCACACTTTCTGTAGTTTAGGCGTGATACATACAATCCTTCACCTACCCCAATCCGTTCCTTTTCCCAAAATCTCCAAATCCCTAATCCCCAAAAGGTCGACAACGCACTCGTTACTCCTCCGTCATTGCGTCCATGGGCGACGCTGAGTACTTACCATCAGGTAATCTGTTTGCTCGTTTGCCTATCACATAAAACAAAATAGGTTCAGTAGTTTAGGCGTGAAGAAAAGACAGAGAGACAGACAGACAGAGTTAATTTCGCATTTATAATATTAGTTTGGACAAGTATTTGGTATTTCTTTGCACAGATTTCTTTTAAGCAAATGATTGGCTTTTGTTTCTTTACACGTGTTATGCTAATTAATAAATATGATAAATTATATTGAGTCATCGTTTTTTTTTATTCATAATTGTGTACCCAAGTGTGTTTGGTTGTAGACCTGATTTTTCAAGCTTTTGGCTAGATATAGTTAATGAGTATTTATTGGCACGAAATATGTGGTTCTTGACACCTGGGGAGAGGGAATTTGGAATCACACGATTCGAGATACAGAGGTCCAGATAATTATTTTGAAATTGCACAATTTATCCCCATTATTTTGCATGTCGACGAAATTTTTCTTTAATTTCTCTTTTTTTATAATATAGGTTGACAAACGAGGAGACGTATTACCTGATGGTAAGCAATCGGCGCTCATGGACAAACTCAACACCAATTTTGAGATAAGGGTTTCGGACAGTTTTGAGATAAGGATTGGCGAGGGATGGGAAGGGGAATTGGGCTTCTGGTAACCACACTCACACGGCGAAACACAACTCTTTGGTTATTTCACGCCGGTTTTCTGTGAGGCCGTGGAATAACTCCAGTCGAGTCGACCAGTGCTGAAGCGTGGCTCTCCCACACTAGCTTCTGCACTAAAAATAAACTCGAGGGAATATTCTTTTTTTTCTCTTATGACAGTCTTTTTATTTTTTAATTATTTATTTATTTCATGCACAAAACACATTACAATCAAATATTATTAGCTTAAAAACTAAAGGTTTTGATCTAGATAGTAACGTAACAATATGTGCATACTGCAAAATTACAAGTATTAAATAATAAAAAAGCTCAAAAAGGGACAAAAAGAAATATGAAGTAAAAACTAGAAAACATAAAGTGACGTGTGTCAACACTGGTGCCTCTCAACAAAAATATGGGCTGATTAAGGTCCTTCAGGCATAGTTTCCCGGGCCTGAAGAATCCACACCAGATCGACAATGGAGAATGCCTCATACAGTCATTCATGTCACGGGGACGCGCTGGACTTAATCAGTGTTCCGGTGTTTTGATGGTGTCGTCTACTGTGGATCCTGGACCTTATAAAAATATTTTTTTATTAGGTCAAGTCCGTCTCAGTTCTATACGGATGGAATAGGGTGATTTTTAGTTAGTAAGAGTCTGACTCTCCCCTCGTCATCCCACCTGGAGTGGGAGAAGTAATTTGTCGATTTTCTCTTCTCAAAGCAAAGTCATTCAAAACTGATAACAAAGGCTTCGAAGCAGGAACATTTACAACCGTATTATCCCTTTTTTAAGGTGTAAAGTGAACATGATATTTCTCGCCCAGGGTAAGGCGAGAGAGAGTGTCGGACTCTTACTGACTAAAAACCACCCCGTCCCTTCTCCTGCTTTGGGCCGAGGTCGCGGTGCCTCATTACGCTTACTCCGCAACCTCGGCTGAACATCAGCCCTATAGGGCCCGCTCTGTAGTGGTCTATTGAGTCTTTGAGGCGCGTCTGAAGTGACACGTCGTATGCAACCTCTTGTATGGGATTGGTCGGTAAACGATTACCTGATGGTAAGCAATCGGCGCCGCCCATGGACATCCGCAACACCAAAGAAGTTGCAAGCCGTTTAGGGATAAGGGTTTCAGATATTAAAGAATTGGGAAACCTTACTCACACGGCGGAACACAACGCTGTGATTATGTCACGCCGGTTTTCTGTAAGGCCGTGGTATCACTCTGGTCGATTCCACAACGATATTAATTAATAATAATTGTTAATTTAGTCACAACGTTAAAAATAAAAGACTCTCTCAATATAAAATAATGTTTATTTATTAAGTAAGTAGATAATATTTTTACCAATAATTTATTATAACAGTTTATTAGATTGTAAATAAGTTCATCAGACGAAGATGATTAATTTAAACTTAACAAAAAAAGCAAATACAGCTCCGTGCCAGACACGGAATAATAATCCTTATATCCAATCCTAGTATATTCTATAGTCAAAACCTGGCAAGTACCAATGTGACTTTTTCCGAGTTATATGTATTGTAGTTTCTGTAAAATAGATATAACAAAATAATCATTTATTATAGTTACTGCTAACGCCATCTAGTATCACTCATAAAGCATTAACTCATATGTACATATATATATATATATAGTTTTTATGATTAGGTACCTATTTAGACACCACTGACATACGGTGAAGGAAAAACATCGTGAGGAAACCTGGACTTATAATTTCTAATTATAAGTTTGAAATCGCCAACCCGCCTTGAGCAAGCGTGGTGATTAATGCTCAAACCTACTACGTTAATTATTATTTATTCTTTCCTTTCACGGGACCACAGGGTCCCGGACCTTTGGAAGGCGTACGAGGAGCCGAAGCCAACTCGCAGAGGCCCGTTGAACAGTTTTAATCTAAATGTGATGGGACATCAGCCGGCAATTATCCCTGTATGCACTATAAAAGTGCATCCAAGGACAATCCCCGGTTGATGCAGGACTATTGTGAAATGTGGTAAAAATTGATAGGGTTATAGGTATGGGTTGCTATGGACTGGTGGATATGATAACTATGGAAATACTACGGCCCCTGCCCCTGACCAATATTGATACATACGGATAAACAGGCAGGGGGTGACTGGCAAACTCAATTAATTAATTATTATTACTGAGTATTATAGTGTGTAGTAAAAGTGATTGAAAAAGTGTAACTATGGAGTTTGTGTCTCGTTCTTCTCCATAAGAATCTACACTTTGGAACGAGCAAATAGCTTCACTAGAGGACAGACGGACAGACTGACACATATAAAGTTAAACCTTATGATATCTTTTCTGCTTGACGGTCAAAAGCCTGTTGTGGTCTACTTGAAATAAAGAATTTGATTGATTGATTGATATAAGCTTTCGAAGATGTCAGCGCCATTTACCTGAAGGTAAGCAATCAGTGTCGTCCACAACCACCCACAACATCAGAGAAGTTACAAGTGCGTTGCATGATCTTCTCCGCTCAAGGCCACACGATATTTTCAATCCAGGGGATATAATGTATGACTTTTGTGAACATCCCTGAACTGCCCCAGGTTCCGCAGTTCCTGTCGATGGACATCACCCCCAGGATAAAACGGGTACATCGAAAAGCACGTCTTCTGTATAACACCAAGGGACTTCCGCTGTCACTCTGAAAATATATGACATCTATTACAGCTTTATGGTTTTTTTTTTTGGTGAAGGGAAAATTATCAAATGACTTCTCCCGCCCAGGCCCGAATGGGAGGGAGTGTCAGACTCTTAGTGACTAAAAACCCGCTGTTCCTTCTCCTGCTCTGGGCCGAGGTCGCGGTGCCTCATTGCGCTTACCCCGCAACCCCGGCTGAGTTTTTATGGGATCGAAACGAACTGACGGATTACCTGATGGTAAGTAATCGGCGCCGGGCATAGACACCCGTAACACCAAAGGAGTTACGAGTGCGTTGCCGGCCTTTTGGGGATAGGGGTTGCGGATATAAGAATCGGGAAGGGATAGGGGAAAGAGCGGGATTGGGCCTCCGGTAACCTCACTCACACGGCGAAACACAACGCTGTGGTTGTTTCACGCCGGTTTTCTGCGAGGCCGTGGTATCACACCGGCCGACCCATTCGTGCCGAAGCTTGGCTTTTGGCACCCATGAACACCCGAAACCCCGGAGGAACAGCGAGTGCGTTGCGGGCCTTTTAGGGATTAGGGTTTCGGAGACTTAGGTATTGGGGAGGAGTCCCTAGTAACCTCACTAACACTCCGATCAAGCCAACCCATTCCTGCTGCAGCATGACTATTCTACACTCTATCTCTCTCTCTCCCTCGATCTCTGTCTCTTTCTCTCTTTCATAGAAAATAAGTCGAACAAATTATTTTCGGTCGGGTTAGGTACCTGGCAAGAATCTTGAGGTGTCCTTACATCTCCATAGCAGATCTGTGAGCTGGCATCAAACCCGGAAGGCAGCTCAGGATGTGGAGGATAGAAGAAGGAACATTGGACTTCATCGAACTCATCAAGAGGGAACTGGAAATAAAGTATAGACTGTTTGATTGCTAATTAACATTTTTTTTATGTCTATAAACCATTGGGTTAATCCCTGTAGCCTCCTTAACGAAGACGCGGCGAGTCGAGTGTTCGTTGTAAATTGCACTTTAGACTTTAGACATTAGTCTTTAGACTTTAGACTTTAGATTTTAGACTTTAGACTTTAGACTTTAGACTTTAGACTTTAGACTTTAGACTCACGGTTTTTTTTTTTGTTTAGGTAGACTAATAATTATTAGTAAATTAATTAGTCCTCACCACTTGCAACTTTCCCTGATCAAGTACTTCATCAGTCGAGTTCCAGACCAAGATCCCTGCTTCACTTGTATCGAGTGTCTCCGGATCTGAATGTAGACAGGCTGGAAGCACGTGCTGGTTGAATTTTATCCTGAATAACATGAAACAAGATCAGTTTCTCAATCCTTGATGGGTTGGCCCTAATTCAGATCATCAGCCTATAAATGAGCAAAGACCTCTTCTCACACGGAGAATGTTTGAGTATTTATCAATTTGAATTGGAGATTCCAAACTTATAATGAGAAATTATAAGACCATGTTTCCTCACGATATTTTACTTCAGCGTCTGTGTCCAAATCAACATAGTAAGTACATACATATAACTCTGGAAAAGTCACATTGGTACTTGCCAGGTTTCGAACCCCCAACGTCATACACGTAAGGCGGACAGACAGGAAACGACACACGACAGTATTTAAATGTACATACATAATGCGTCTGTAAGTAAATACTAGCTTCCACCAGCGGCTTCGCCCGCATGGTACATTTTCCAGAGCATCACCTATCTGGTTGCGGGGTAAGCGCAATGAGGCACCGCGACCTCGGCCCAGAGCAGGAGAAGGAACGGGGAGGTTTTTAGTCAGTAACGTCTGACACTCTCTCTCGCCTTGCCCTGGGCAGGAGAAGTCATTGGATGATTTTCTCATGACAGAAAAAAGAAAAAAGGGCATCACCTATTAGGTAACATACCATTCAAATTTCAACCAAATAGGTTCAGACGTTTTTCGTGAAAGAATAAGAAACACACATCCATATTATATTCTCACAAACTTTCACATCTAATTTATAAAAATGGATCGCAAAATGTGTTGGTAAGCGCATAACTCAACAACAACGCCTGGACCAATTTTGCTAACTCTTTTTTTGTCGTGTTTCTTATTGACAGGAGAAGGTTAAAACAAACAAAAAGTATTTATTCGCGTCTGGGACGCATAAAAGACACAAAACTAACAATAATAAAAATAAAGGTAAAAATAAAAATACGTAAAGAATGATAATACAATACAACAAAAGTAGAGGGTAGGAGAAATATATGCGTAAGCACGCGAGATGGCCCTCGCTCAGCATTATGCAGCGACCCCACTGTACTGTACTGTACTGTACGAGACAGTGTCGCGGCGCTGATTTTCAGCGATGGCCGACACCAACGCATGACGCCAATCAGTGCAGAAACTTAAGTTAAGAAAGTTAAATACAAAAGTGTGTTTCATATATGTTGCTGGATTAGTAACCTACTCTAAAAAAAAAACTACATATGATTAAAATAAAAGGGAAAAAGTAAAATAAAAAAAAGTACTAAATATTAGATGCATTACTATGTGACACTTGTCAGTGGCAACACTGAATGAATGAAAGCGACGCTCGCGCTTCCATTCCATTCGATCAAAAAGGTTCTTATTAAAGAAAATATTTGAAAAAGTGATCCTTAAATAGCGAGAAAGTTGGACCCGTGCGAAGCGGGGGCGGGCCGCTAGTTTATAATAATTATTATATAAGGATTTTTGTTACTTACGATTCGGTCTTAATCAGAGCGATATCATGATATTTAAAATTTGTATCGTAGTCCGGATGAGAGAAGACTTTTTGGACATCATAAGTCTGCCATTCAGAAGTATCCAAACGATTGGTTATCCCAACAGCTACATATTTCACAGGACCACTGGAAGTAAGAGAAAATATAATATTATTAATTTCAACTGTAAATGCTACATAGTAAGTCTTGGAGAGCCATGCTTCGGCACGAATGGCAGTCTCGACCGGAGTGATACCACGGCCGCACAGAAAACCGGTGGGAAACAACTTCAGTGTTGTGTTTTGCAGTGTGAGTGAGGTTACCGGAAGCCCAAACTTTCCCCTCCCCCAATCCCTAAATGTCCGAATACCTAAACCCCAAAAGGTCGACAGCGCTCTCGAAAACGCCTCTGTTGTTGCGGGTGCCCATGGCCAGCGCTAATTGCCAACAGGTAATCCGTCAGTCATAAGTCTTGTCAAAATCATTATACAGTTTTTTTCTGTACTTCACATACACATTTTTTTTTAACTTTTCATCTTTCCAGCATCGTGGGTGCGGTGACCAAACAAACAATTTCACATACACATCACACCCAGAACCGGAACAACAATTTTTGGATCACACAAAGAGTTCTTCCGTGCGAGATGCTGTCATTTTTCTTTAATAGACGAGAAGCCATTGCTTCTGGTCGATTTTCCGTGAGGCCGAGGTATCATTCAGGTCAAGCCGGCCCTTTCATGTCGAAGCATGGCCATCCCTTGTTTTTTTTTTTAAATGAAATACAAAATAAACTTACAGCGGTTTGACAGTGAGACAGTGCGCTGCAGTAAGAATGAAGTTTTCGCTTATAATGGTACCGGCACATCTCCATTCAGCCGTATTTTTGTCTCCTCCATATCCTAATAAAGCCTGAAAGAAAACATCATCAGTCATCATTATCAACTGACCTATGACTGCTATGATACATGGTCTTCTCGCGCAAAGAAGGGTTGAGCATCATTCACCACGCTTGCTCTAGTTGTGTCTTGATTTGACTTGACTTATTTTATAACTACAACACGACCCGAATTGACCCGATCTTTTTTTGTGAGAGGAAAATCATAACATGATTTCTTTCACCCAGGGTGAGGCGAGAGCGAGTGCCAGACCCTTATTGACTAAATCCACTTGTTCTGTGCTTGCGTTGTGTTTCGCCGTGTGAATGAGGTTAACGGAGTTCCATTCCCTCCCCCTATCCACAAATACCTAATCACCCACAAAAGTCCAGCAACGCACAAAAACTCTTTTGGCGTTGCAAATGTACCATAAAGTGATCCCTATCTTACAAAAAATATTTCTGCACTTACTAAGTATGATTCTTCGTGAGGTGGCCGCTGGGATCCAGCCGTGAAACGAAGTCGGTAACAGTTAAAATCATGATCCAGTTGTCTGGAGAAATTCCCTCTGGTCTTGCAAGAATAATCCAGTTGATCCACATAGTTGACGCACTCTGGAAGGATTAATATATAAATTTTAGACAACGAAGAGAGAAAGTGTGGGAGAGCCATGCTTCGGCACAAATGGGTGGGCTCGACTGGAGTGATACCTGGTGGTACTCGGCGCCATCCATGGATTCCCGTAACAGCAGAGGCGTTACAAGTTCATTGCCAGCCTTTTGGGATTAGGATTCTGGAGATTTAAGGAGTAGGAGAGGAGGGATGGGGGTAGGGGGTGTAATGCTTGATCCTCCGGTAACCTCACTCAGAGGTTGTTTAAACACAACTCTGTGGTTGTTTTATACTGGTTTTCTGTGAGTTTTCGTTTATTTTCGAAATTAATAATTCAATTTTCCACTTACTGTCGTGCGCTTTCCTTCCTGTTAAAGGCAGCAGTCCAGCTCCAGGATTGAACACGATCTTTCTAGAAATAAAATAAAATAAAGCATATTAAGATCGTTTAACATCCAACGACACGCGCCGATCTTTCACCTAAGTGGATTAACGGTATCCATAAGGTGGCTGGCAGTGGTTGGATGAGAAGAGCTGAACATCGAGCTCCGATGTCCAGCAGTGGACGGAAATGGGCTTCAAAATCATCAAATGTCACACCATGGATAAGTGTCAGACTCTTACTGACTAAAAAGCGTCGTTTCTTGACCTACTCTGCTACGAAGTAGTTTTTTAATGTGATAGGTCGGCTAACGAGCTGACGCATAACCTGATGGTAAGCAATGCGCGCCGCCAAGTCCGTCTTACTCTATGGGTGCGAAACGTGGAAGGTAACAAAGGATATCACTTACTCAATCCAGGTCTTCGTCAACCGCTGCCTTCGTTTTCTGGCCAGAGAAGATCTCGAACGAACGCTTGTGGGAGGCGTGCCGGGAAATGCCAATAGATAAGCAAATTACATACCGAAAGTGGTCATGGATAGGGCACACTCTCAGGAGAGGTCCCACACACATACCAAGACAAGCTCTAGAGTGGACACCACAAGGCAGGCGAAAAGTTGGCCATCCTAAGCAAACGTGGCGGCGCACAGTGGCGGCGGAAATAAAGAGGATAGGACTGTCCTGGTCCGAAATTAAGCACATAGCCCAAGATAGGTCCAAATTTGAGGAGTGGCTTGAGAGACGCCACGGCGTCCTCACCTTCCGCCTGACGCAGGTGCTTACCGGGCACGGCAGCTTCGGTAGGTTCCTGTTTCGGATTCAGCGGGAGGAAACGCCCGAGTGTCGTCATTGTGAGGACCACCTAGAGGATACGGTGGAGCATACGGTAGCGGTATGCCCTGCCTGGGCTGAGCACCGCCGTATCCTCAGGGAAGTGATCGGCGGCGGCGACCTCTCGCGCCCGGCCTTAGTCGAGGCCATGGTGCGGAGTGAGAGGAACTGGGACGCCGTCTCCTCCTTTTGTGAAGCAGTCATGCTCGCAAAGAGAGAGGCGGCCCGCGTGAGGGAGCAATCCTCCTCCTCACGCCCCAGCAGCCGCAACTGGCGACACTACGGGCGTCGGGGATCGAGGGACGATCTCCGGCCACCGTAAGTACGGGCCTGCGGTCGGCGAGTAAGGGCAGCTCGCCGCCCGACCAGAACCAGGCCCGAGCGTACGGCGCGTAGCGTTCCGCGCGCGCCTCAAAGAGCCAATAGACCACCACAGACGGGGCCCTAAAGGGCTGATGTTCAGCCGGGGTTGCGGGGTAAGCGCAATAAGGTACCGCGACCTCGGCACAGAGCAGGAGAAGGAACAGGGGGGTTTTTAGTCAGTAAGAGTCTGACACTCCCTCCTGCCCGGCCCTGGGCGGGAGAAGTCATTTGATGATTTTCCCCTCACAAAAAAAAAAAAAAAAAAAAAGATAGGTCCAAATGGAAAAATACTGTGGAAGCCCTCTGCCCCACCTAGGGGACATAGGAACTTAAGTCAAGTAAGTCAAGCAATGCGCGCCTCACATCATAAAGGAGTTACGAGTGTGTTGCCGGCATTTTGGTGGCTTGATTGGGGAAGGGGAAGTGGCAGGATTGGCCGTGGTATAACTCTGGTCCAGCCAAACCCTTCGTGCCGATACATGTCTGTCTGTTTTTAAACTCTGAACTGTCAAGAGCTGATGATAATAATGAAGATGATGAGGTACCTGATATCATCTACGGTATCGCAGTCTGTGCAGCACACAATCGGATCCTTTCCTTCGAACGAACAAATCTGGAATATAACAAAGCCATTTTAGGTCTTTTAGCAGACTTCAAAAGAAATGGATGATTCATATTTTTTGAGATATGGTGGAAAATGAGCAATCATGACCTTATGGTAAATAGTTTTCAGTGTAGGAGAGCCTTCCTTCAACATTGTTAGGCTGGCTGGAACCTGGTCGACGTGACGAGAGACCTAATCTTTACCTTTCTCATTTAAAATCTGCAATGCTCAGATTCACAAGAACCAGCATAAGACAGGCAACGGACTTCAAGTGATCTTTTATAGGATAGAGCGACATACGAGTAGACGCATCACCTGATGGTAAGCAAATTGGGTGAGTATCACAATTGTGTTCCCAGTTTAAGGGGCTGTTATGTAATTGAGAATTGGGGAAGAGCGACGAGTTTGGTACTCCGGTAACAAAAACATAATGCCTTGAGTTTTTCACGTCAATTTTCTGAGAGCCTATGGTATCATTTTTTTTAATAACTTTGCCCCACATTAGTATTTTCTCCTATGTCGTGGGTGCGGTTACAAACACATAACACCCAGACCCGGAACAACAATTTGTGGATCACACAAAGAGTTGTTCCGTGCGGGACACAAACCCGCGACACGTTGCACGGCAACCAGTTGCCCAGCCACCGCACCAACCGTGCAGTCTCTCCGGTCGAGCTAATTCATTCGTGCTTAAGCATCGGTCGCCCACACTTATATATTATAATTTATAAAGCAGCAGATAATGGTAAAAGTAATTGCTTGCACAAGCACGAAGCGGTTCGCCTCCAGTTTTATAATCAGAACCGCTAGAGTGTATTTTTTTGCCGGAGTCTGTGTTCCCCGAAGTGTATAACCAGGGTCTTCAAGGCCCGAGTGAATAGGTTGCTAATGGGTAAGTGTGCTCCATCGTAGGGCGAATCATCGCTTACCATCAGGCGTGATAGCAGTCAAATACCTGTCCATGACGAAATAAAAAGAAATGCATGAAATTTAATGTACTGGACAAAAATACATACGTACGTACCGGCGGGAATTGTTTCGTTTTAAGAAAAATATGTGCATATTGGCATTTGTAGATTTTGATGCAGATACCCGTTGCATTGTCGTGCTCGCATTGTGCTCCTGCAGCCAAAAAAATATTCGTCAAAGTCAAAGTCAAAGGATATCCAGGATACAAGGCGACCGTCCGCGAAAGAACGGTGTGTCTTTTAGGAAGAGTCTGACACTCCCTCCAGCTCTACCCAGGGAAGAAGAAGGAGATTAATGAGTTTCCTCGCTCAAAAAAATAAATACAGGAAACCGGCGTGTACCAAGGTGCCACGTAACACGACGTAGGACAGCGCTTTTTTTTATGTAAATGGTCGGCAAACGAGCAGACGGATTACCTGATGGTAAGCAATCAGCGCCGCCCAAGGACACTCGCAACGGAGGAGTTACGAGTGCGTTGCCGACCTTTTAGGGATTAGGGATTTGGAGATTTAGGGATTGAGGAGGGATTGGGGGAGGGGAAGGATTGGGCCTCCGGTAACCTCACTCACACGGCGAAACACAACGCTGTGGTTGTTTCACGCCGGTTTTCTGTGAGGCCGTGGTATCACTCCGGTCGAGCCGACCCATTCGTGCCGAATGCATGGCATGGCATGGCTCTCCCACACTTATAACTTGAGGTCGAAGTAACCAGTCCACCACCCTTCCTCCTTCACTCCAAACTTATCTGGTGTTGTGAATATCCATGGGCTGCGTCTATTGGTCAGATCCGTCCTTAAGTGTGAGAGAGCCATCCTCGTCGCGCCCCAGCCGCCGCAGAAGGCGACATTCCATGCGTTGGGGATCGAGAGATGATCTCCGGCTATCGTAAGCGCGAGTAAGGGCAACTCGCCGCCCAACCAGAACCAGACCCGAGCATACGGCGCGTAGCCTTCCGCGCGCGCCTCAAAGAGCCAATGGAACACCACAGACGGGGCTCTATAGGGCTGATGTTCAGCCGGGGTGCAGGGCTAAGCGCAATGAGTCACCGCGGCCTCGGCCCAGAGCAGGAGAATTAACGGGGGGATTTATTGTCAGTAAGAGTCTGATACTCTCTCTCGCCTAACCCTGGGCTGGAGAAGTTATTTGATGATTATCCCCTGACAAAAAATGGCACGAATGGGCCATCTCGACCTACATTATGATAGGTACCACGGCTTCACAGAAATCCGGCGTAAAACAATCACAGTGTTGTGTTTCGCAATGTGAGTGGAGTTAACGGATGCCCAATCCTTCACCGTCTCCCTTTTTCAACCGTTAAATCTCCGAAACCCTTATCCCCAAAGCCGGCAAGGCACTCGTAACTCCTCTGATGTTGTGCATATCCATGGACCTCGCCGATTGCTTACCATCAGGTTATCCGTTTGCTAATTTGACTCCCTATCCCTGTGTATCGGAGTGGGTTCGAAATCTGGCAAGTACCAATGTGACTTTTTCCGAGTTATAGGTATGTACTTTCTATGATTATTTAGACACCACTGACGTACGGTGAAGAAAAACATCGTCAACTCATTGAGCAAGCGTGGCGACCAATTTTTTTTTTAAACGTTGCTCCACACTAGGATTTTCTCCTTTGTCAAAAACATACAAATTCACATACACATCACCCCTAGACCCGGAACAACAATTTGTGGATCACACAAAGAGTTGTTCCGTGCGGGAATCGCACCCGCGACATTGTGATGACTGCACGGCAGCCAGTCGCCCAGCCACCGCGCCAACCGTGCAGTCATCACAATGCTCTAACCTTCTCCGTATGAGAAGAGGCTTTTGCTCAGCAGCGGGCACTTCTAGGCTGATGATGATGATAATCACTATATGTTATGGAGAATGTAGAATACATATTTAATAGAAACCCACTAACCTTCAGGCTTACTCAGGATTTCACAAAACGCAGAAAGAAACACGGAAAACAAGATAAAGTAATGATGTAGCAACATAATTATTATAAAAACGTAGGTAATAACAATAATAATACTAAATACACGACCGTCCCGCTTCAATGACGCGTCGACACTGTAATAAAATAATAAAGAATTCATTATAACGAGTTTATTTATTTATAGATTGACGTAATGATCATTATTGAACAAAAAACTTAAAAAACAACAACACAAAATTGTAGGAGGTGGCTTTTAACTATTATTCTACGTGTATTACTGTTTTATCCCTGGGATTTGACCAACTAAATTCATAGTAAGTATAAAGAGAAGGCTAAAATAGTGACTGAAACCGGCTTGAAACAACCACAGCGTTGTGTTTCGCCGTGTGAGTGAGGTTACCGGAGGCCCAATCCTTCCCCTCCCCGGATACTTCCCCAATCCCTAACTCCAAATCCCTAATGCCAAAGGCGGTCACGCACTCGTAACTCCTTCGTTTCGTGTGTCGATGGGCGGCGCTGATTGCTTACCATCAGGTAATCCGTCTGTTCGTTTGCCGACTTATTACATGAAAAAAAGAGTCATAAAATATTTTTCTTTAGAATTTTATCGATAAATATTTCTATATTTTCAAATAAAAAATACTTTCTAGTGATTAAGATGCCCTTAATCGACACTAGCGCCACTGTGGTTTGATATGTAACAAATAAATATTTAACTTTACGTAGGTAAAATTATACATATTTCCTAACTAGCTTCTGCCCGCGACTTTGTTCGCGTGGAAAAAGGAACATCAAAAAAGGACATCGTATAGTTTTTAAATCAAAAATCTGTAGAAGTCACTAACTTCTGCAGATTTTTGATTTAAAAACTATATGATGTTCTTTCTCGAGTTCCAAACTATGTCTGTACCAAATTTCACAGAAATCGGTTCAGTAGTTTAGGCGTGAAGAAAAGACAGTTAGACAAAGAGACAGAGTTACTTTCGCCTTTATAATATTAGTTATTATAATATCTTTATACATCTTTAACACAACGCTGTGGTTGTTTCACGCCGGTTTTCTGTGAGGCCGTGGTATCTCTCCGGTCGAATCGACCCATTCGTGCCGAAGCATGGCTCTCCCACACTTAAAGTAGTACTTAAACGCTTTTTTTTATTTATTTTGTTTAAAATTACCTTAATTTTAGTAGGTAGAATTAATTACCTATTAAATTATTAATAAATGTATATTTTTTCTTCCAAAAACTTTATTTTTTTCCTAGCCATCTCATACGCCATTTTCGACAAACAAAACCTACAACCCCAACTGCGTGCAGCGGCTACCATGCGATCTCCATCAAGTCCTCTCTTTAGCCGGATGTCGTAAAGTAGCTATAATACAGAAGGATCACATGACTCTGCCAACAGCGTGGACACACAGTGGGAGAAGACATGGAATAATTTTCCCCTCACAAAAAAAAGCGTTGATTTGCCGAGTGAGTAAAGTTTTTGAGACTATATTCGTCGCTTCCTCTCTACCAAACACTCCAAAAGGCCTGTAACTCACTCGTAACTCCTCTGGTGTTGAAGGGGTCCATGGGCGGCTTGCTTACCATCAGGTAAAACCTCTGACCCTTTGCCTTAACAAAACCTTAAGCTACCCCTTCCAATATTCAGGTGAACCTTCTGAATAACTATTTGAGGATTGGCATAAATACTATCTGCGCTGTGTAGCTCATATCAAAGTATTGATCCTGACCTGCGCAGTGCAGCTAGACTGATCTAGACTAGGTTTCCTTTGTGCTCTCAGTAGCTACGTCGCGTGCCGTCCGCTGAGAGAGATGTGTTGGTCATTTGAACAGATGTTAAGCTGCTCTCTCAGCCCTATGTCTTCATATCCTGAGTACCACAGGTGAGTAACAGCATCTATTCCTACCCTGATAATATTAGTGAGTAAAAGTATAATTGGTCCTTCTCGCGTCTTATCCTTCCCCTCATCCTTTATACTCAAACCCACTATCAGCCTTGAAGAGGTCAACAACTTTTTGTAACTCATATATTATGGGGAAAATCATCAAATGACTTCTCCACAAGGAGTGTCAGGCTCTTACTGACTAAAACCCCCCCGTTCCTTTTCCTGCTCTGGGCCGAGGTCGCGGTGCCTCATTGAACTTACCCCGCTACCCCGGCTGATCATCAGCCCAATAGGGCCCCGGCTGTGATGGTGTGTTGGCTCGGGTCTGGTTCTGGACGGGCGGCGAGCAATCCTTACTCGCTGTCCGCAGACCTGCGCTTACGGTGGCCGGAGATCAAAGTGAAATGTCTGTTATTTAATACATCATCATCATTATCATCAACATATGAGACACAAAATGGCCTCCAAAGATTTTCCCAGTGCCTGGTTAAAAATTACTAGCGACCAACAGTTTCTTGCTACCTCCATCAGAACTTCTAAGACATCTGTATTAATTCTAACGCTGTTAATGCTTAACACCACCAGGTTCATGTCGGAGGAGCAGGCAGCGATCATCAGCTCAACTTCTCCCGAACTACCTTCAACGCAGCAGCGTCTACAGCTTACCAGAACACAGACTTTCCTGTCATGGTCAGTACTGAAGAATTCGTTTCTATTTAGTCAATAATGTATCCACCATCTACCAACAGGAATTCAGGACTCATTCTAGTGTTCACCATTTCTAAATCTGAACCTTTTTGGAAACATGTGTTCTGTTCCTGCCAATATTCGCGTATCACGGGACATGAAACCTCACTGCTGCCGTCAGTTGACTGGACCATCTCCACACTACATGAGCTGCTGTGTAACACCTATCAATTAACTGTTACAGGGTTACTGGAGTACAGCAGTCGCACCAGTCCTCTCTGAACCTGAATGATGCAGTACGACGACCCAGCTAAGCCACAAATCTGCCTCCTGATCTCCGCCTAACATCCCTGGGGTGTAAGTGGCTCCCCACCGCCTTGAGAGCCAAAGTCAACCTCACCTGCCTGCGGTACACCCTGCTGAATCACGGACGAGGCTCTGGCGCCCCCTGCGAGGCGGAGATGATGGGTATCCTCTCAGCCTCTCATGGGCTCGTTATGGACTGCGACTGCGTCTCCGTCGCAACCGCGGTGCATAATACCTAGCGACTACAATAATAAATATAATGTGCCGGTAGGTTGTAAGAGGATTATAATACACGATTATCGCTAAATAAAATAATAAATAAATAATTGTAAATATAGGATAAACATTCGTTTTATTTATGAGAAACTTATTCTTCGGGTTTTCTAGATGTTCCCTCACATTATAAGGGTTATTCATAAGTCATCATCATCATCATCATCAGCCTTTAAGTGCCCACTGCTGAACAAAGGCCACTTCTCATACGGAGATGGTTAGAGCAATAATCACCACGCTTGCTCAATGCGGGTTGGCGATTTCAAACTTATCACACCTATATATATATATAGGTGTCTAAATAATCATAGAAACGTACATATAACTCGGAAAATGTCACATTGGTACTTGCCAGGTTTCGAACCTACACCCTCATGCATGAGAAGCAGGCTGCCTAACTTCCGGGCCACCACGACTATATATTCATAAGTATTCATAAGCATACACCTTATATTTTTGACGTCATCAATCGTAATTTCCGGCAGATTTTCTCCATTTACCGCTTACAGTTCAATCTCTGTTTCTTCTCAAACACACAAGAAATATATTCCTAGAAATCAGACTAAGACATTTTTATCGAACTAGGCGGAAAGCAAGCAGGACCTGACCTGGGGGTAAGTAATAGCTATGATTATTTAGACACCACTGACATACGGTGAAGGTAAACATCGTGAGGAACCCTGGACTTATAATTTCTAGTTATAAGTTTGAAATCGCCAACCCGCATTGAGCAAGCGTGGTGATCAATGCTCTAACCTTCTCCGTATGCGAAGAGGCCTTTGCTCAGCAGTGGGCACTTATAGGCTGATAATGATGATGATGATGATGAAGCAATAGCTTTATTGTTGGCTTTAAATACGCTGCTCTAGGCCGAGGCTGCGATGCCTTATTGAGCTTACCCCGCAACCCCGGCTGAACATCAATTCGTCTCCCACTTTTCTTCTTCTTTTCTACTGTCCAAGTCGGCTGATCAGCGTTGACCTTCTGACCCTAATGCCGAAGCACGTCTACCGGCAGTAACGTCGGTTGTGCTGCTGCGGAGCTACGAGCCATCTACCTAAAAAACCGGCTACTGATCCAGGACAGTGGTGTTTCTAAGGGCGAACTAAAATGTATGATGAGCTTGATATTCGAACTCATTTCTGGTCCAACCGGCAATATCTCGTAGTATATAATTATGTAGATACTATATCTCGATCAATACTATGATGAATGATGATGATGATGATAAAGTACCCTAAATCGTAACAAGAAATCGGCCCCGCCCTTCGACATCAGCAACACCAGTGTAGCTACGAGCACCTTTTGGGGATTAGGGTTTTGGAGATTTTGAGATTAGCTGAGGGGAAGAAGGCCTGCGTCTCTAGTAACGGTAGTCGTTTCACGCCAATTTTCTGTGAGGCCGTTGTATCACTTCGGTGAGTTGGCCTATTCGTGCTGAAGCATGGCTCTCCCACATTTTCTTTGTATTTTTCGCCGTGAGTGTAAGGATATCATATTATAGACCTGCAACACACACATAACTCTTCTGGTCTTGGGGGCTTTCATGGGTGGCGCCGATTGCTTACCATCAGGTAATCCTGTAATTTGTCGTCCTACATCATCAGCCTATAAATGCCCACTGCTTAGCAAAGACCTCTTCTTACATGGAGAAGGTTTGAGCATTAACCACCACGTTTGCTCAAGGCTTTGAATATCTGCCGCTATAGCCCCCTCATTTATCCCCCAAAATTACCATTATGTAAAAAGGCCGGCAACGTAATTGCACCTACTCTGGTGTAGCAGGCTTCCATGAGCGGAACATCATCAGCCGATAAATACCTATTGCTGAGCAAAGACCTCTTCTCACACGGAGAAGATTTGAGCATTAACCACCACGTTTGCTCAAGGCGGATTGTCGATTATCAAACTTATAATTAGACCACGAAAAGTCCAGGATTCCAGGCAATGTTTTTCTTCATCATAATTATATCAAACGTATTGAAAAATAATTGCATTGTATATCTCATATTAAAGTATTGATTTATGAAGTATTTGAGACCTGCGCAGTGCAGCGAGACTAAAATAGACGAGTGCATTCCATACGCCACTTCAGAAGGTCCACGAAGTTGAGAATATCAGGTTTGGTTCATGAAAGGTCAGTTTTTTATTTGTATTACCTATGTTTAATTAGCGCTGCTCAAGTGCGGATTTGAAATCTGGCCAAGTACCAATGAACTTTGTCCGAGTTATATGTAGATACTAAGTATCTACACCACTGATTTGCGGTGAAGGAAAACATCGTGAGGAAACCTGGACTTATAATATTTTTTATGTAGTAGGTCGGCAAACGAGCGGACGGATTACCTGATGGTAAGCAATCACGCCGCCCATGGACACCCGCAGCGGAGAAGTTACGAGTGCGTTGCCTGCTTTTAGGGATTAGGGTTTTGGAGATTTAGGGATTGGGCAGGGATCGGGGGAGGGAAAGGATTGGGCCTACGGTAACCTCACTCACAAGGCGAAACACAACGCTGTGGTTGTTTCACCGGTTTTCTGTGAGGCCGTGGTGTCACTCCGGTCGAGCCGACCCATTCTTATAATTTCTAATATAAGTTTTAAATCGCCAATTTGCCTTGAGAAAGCGTGGTGATTTATTCCTTCTCCTGCTCCGAGCTGGGGTCACGGTACATTTATGCGTTTGAATCCGCAACCCCACCATTATCTGCTTTTTTATGTGGTAGGAAGAGCTAATGGATTACCTGACGGTAAGCAATCAGCGCCGCCCACGGACATCCGCAGCAACGGAGGACTTACGAGTGCGATCTTTTGGGGATTAGGGTTTTAGAAACACTTACGTCAAAAAAAATGGGATTAAGGGTGTGGAAGGATTGAGCCTCCGGTAACTTCACGCACACGGCGAAACACAACGCCGAGGTTCTTTCACGCTAGTTTTCAGCAAGGCCGTGACCGAACTAATATTACTCCGGTCGAGCCGAACCATTCGTTCTGAAGCATAGCTCTCCCACAGCAATTTGTGTGTATAATCTTGAAGTCTAAACCTTCTGCATATCCATTGATATCCTCCACACTATTATATTACAAGTGCATTACATAGTCAACTTCAAATTATTGATCGTGACCTGCGCAGTGCAGGTGGAACATTCTAGAAGTCTAGATTGAGTGCTAGCGAGGCGTGGCTCACCGTCAGTGCGGCCTGTGACGTTGGCGGTGCAGGACGTGTCAGTCTGAGCGTCGCTCGGAGCTGCTGCTCCTGCAGTTCACATCTTCACTGGCATTAACATCTAGGTAAGTGGACTTATATCTAATACCTTTTTTATCGAGAAAGGAAATTCATCAAATTACTTTTCGCGTTTTTTTCCGCTGTTGGCCTTTCCGGAAGCACACTCCCTCCCCTCACCCCATCTCTCCCCAACCCCTTTTGGCTTTCGAAGATAAGCCTCACCTTCAAGGCGATGCACTTGCTCCTGGGATATCCATGGTTAGGACCGACTGCTTACCATCAGATAGCCCGTCTTTGAAAAAACCCTTCTCGCCTTTTGTTCCAACGCATCCTCTTGAATATTCTCTTGAAGAACCACACCCATGTGCCATGATAGGGGTCATGGCACATGGGTGTGGTTCTTCATTTTCCACCGGTTTCCATCCTTAATCCCTAATCTTTAAACGATCTGCGCAGGTCACGGAATTCCGTCTTCCATATCTACAATGATACTAATTTAATGTTTTAGGTGACTGATGCTGTGCAGTTCCTCCACCTGTCTCTGACGACGGTGCAGCAGCTCGTGGCCACAGAAGCGCTTTGTTCTCAAAGAGGAATGAGGTAATTATTCCATGATATTCCTGAAGTTATGCATAGGTGGTCATCAGCTCTTGGCCTACCAGTAAAGGCTATGAAATCATGTCGTTGACTGGTTTGGTTAGAGTATTCCAAAGACCTCAATATACACGAACGGCGCCTGCGTGGCTGGAGGCAGTACCTAATTATGACAATTTCTGTTGCAGGTCTCCTGCGGACGAGCTGCGTCACCAGCGCGCTGGAGACATGCGGAGGCTCGGTCAAACAGCACCAACCCTCTGACACCAGCGCACTGAACCTTCAACCTTCTCGATAGAAATGCAGCAACATTCTCATCTAGAGTATTGCTGCATTTCTATGGACCTTCTTCCAGAAAGCTGACAAAGGCTGGCGCGGGTCCAAGGACATCGAGGCTAGGGGCTGATGGACCGTATTTTCTTAAATACGCTCCTCCAGTGACCCTGCTCCCTCTTCTTGAACTTGCGCCGTACAGTTTTTGCAGCCGGAATGGAGTAGAGTTTTCGCCGAAAAAGAGCATCAGTGATATTGATATATTTGTATTGCTGGTATTCTTAAACCTGTCTTGAGGTAATTCGGTCAACACTCGTCTCCAGTCCTTTAATTTTAAGATAAGTGTATTATTTACTAGACACCGATACTTACAATTAGTTTATAATGTAACAATTTATCTAAAACTATACGTGGTTTTGGATTCGATCAGTTTCGCACTCACATCTTATGAAATAAATACTTACCTACCTTAATTTTAAGTCATAATTGTGTTTCATTTACTTACATTTCCTTATATTAAATGAGCTGATGGATTACTTGGATGGTGAGCAATCGGCGCCGTCCATGGACACCTGTAATAGCAGAGGAGTTGCGAGTGCTTTTCCGGCCTTTTCGGAATTCGATTTCGGAGATTTGAGGACTCGAGAGAGATCTGTCCCTCCTGCAACCTCAGTCACACAACGCTGTTCCACGCGCGTTTTCTGTGGACGGGAGGTTTTTAGTCAGTAAGAGTCTGACACTCCCTCTCTCCGAACCAGCACCAGACCGCGCCTCACAGATGACAGAACCAATATAAACTACCACAAATCTTACCGGGTTGGCGGATCATTCTCGAAGGGGATGTGTTTTTTAGTAAGAGTTAGAGTCTAATACACCTTTTCGCCTCACCCTGGACAAAAAGAAGTAATTTAATAAATCATCAAATGACTTATGAATCTTCAACCTGGGCGGGAGAAGTCATTTAATGATTTTCCTTTCCAAACAAAGCTTCAGTAAAGAATAATCCGCGTAATATAAAGCATCCCTTGCAGAAAAAACTGGCCCAATGATTTCCAAATAGACCGATTAGAAGCTTCCTGCAACTAGCTACTCGCTTTTTTTTGAGGGGGAAATCATCAAATTACTTCTCTTGTCTAGGCCACCCATTTGGCGTGAAATTAATTAAATGTCGAAATCGAAATTGTAAAGATAACTATTACGTGTAAAAAGAAAATATTTAAATCTTTATTTGATAAAGTGTTGTGCAAAGAGTATGTAACCACTACGTTTAGTGTTGTGTAACGTATTTGTGTCAAAATGTGGGGACGTCTTGTACTCTACCTACTAAATCAACGGAATGACTTTATGATTTTATGCCTGGATATAATGTAGAATACTTTTATAAAATAATCTTTAGATACGCTCATTGATATTATATGTCATACATATTACAAAAATGAAAAATGTTATAATTTCAAAATTTTCTGAGTAAAAAGCCCCGGTGTCAGATTTGCGACATTCCACCATGACAGTTATTGCCATTTGCCAAAAAAACAAAAACTCGCGTCGGCTACCATCTTGTATTTGTGTTAAGCGAATTAGAAAATAATCATATTTAGTGTTTAAAAGTGCTTAAAAATTATATCAAATAATCCATTTTACTCCTTGAGAGTAAAAATACCTACTACCTATATATAAAAGTGCGTCAAATAAAAAAATAACCTAACAAGACCATAAAATTGTTGTAAAGTAAAACTCGTGTGAATTTACAATAATGGTTCGTGGAAATGGTCGTGGAGGTCGAGGAATGGGTGTTCGCGGTGGTATGGGTCGGCCACCCTTTAACCGACCCCGTGTACTAATGCTGCGACCTCCTTTTGACTTGATATTGGCTGAACCGGCGTTCCCAAGATGCAAGCCTGCCCCAGACGATTCTGCCCTAACCCAAGTAAATATGACCATTATACTTCATTTTTGTGTACTTACACACCTTTTCCAAATGCCATAAAGTATTTTCTTCATATTACCGTTGATCTGTCACCTAAGTGGATGACTGAGGTATGCTCAAAACATTCAACTTCAAAAAACTTGTTTAGATGTTTATTTACGTATTAACTAGGTGTTACAGAATTGGCTTACAGTTAGGACACAATTATTGACTCTTTTTTAGTCACAGCAAAACTAAGTAAACATTTTATAATAAGTAATAATTATAAAACTCAATTATGGGGTCACAGATAGAACCTTTTTTGTTTATTTCAGTCATGTAAAATGCCCTATAATACAATGTTTATTATGATAATTTTAACTCAATATGAATAAGTAACTTGGCTTACATACATATATCTTTCTTTACATATCTTTAGATCCGTCCATAGCCCATTATATAGTCGTATAAAGTGTTATTTTGAGAGTTTAACAGAAATAGGCAACTTTTTATTGCCTGATTCTCTTTCTCCTGTTGTTTTATTTTGTCACACTGTATCTTATGTCTCTTACATATTTTATTTCGAAGGAAGAGATAGGAATATGCAGTACCTGTGCCTCTGTTTCTGTTTTTAAATAATAAATAAAATAGTCTCTATGTCATTAACATGGAATGCCAAAAGAAATAAATTTTATTACATTCTCTTACTTCACCTTTCACAGGCTCTTTTGAAAAGACATGCAGAACTATGTCCGACACCCGCAGAGCAGTCTGCAGTCCTAAGCTTAGTCACAAAACTGCAAACTGTTCTGGACAATCTCGTCGTCGCTCCTGGAGACTTTGCGGCATGCGTAAGTATACATTCTACTAATTTAAATTGGCTGCGAATGTTTGTTTTAAAGTTTACGATAACATCCCAAAGTTCTTCGTACGAGTTTTTAGTTCTTCATTGCAGTCTGTTGTGTAATTTTCCAATTATATCATCTAAATTCTTAATGTAAATCCCACAAGTCCCATTGTAGAACCATGGTCAAAAGCTTTCAATGTATTTTAAATATTTTATATGAAGATATTTAAATACTGATATTTTTTACCCTACTACGGCCAAGCCATAAAGGAGGGTAATGCTTTTACCTAACATTTAGCGTGTAAGTAATACATGTTCTATGTTCTCTGTGTCTCTTTTTAGACAAATTGTCTTATCGATGGGAAATATTTTGCAGTTAATCAGTTGTAATCTGAATTATGACGATTCATCATCATCATCATCATCATCATCAGCCCATAAGTGCCCACTGCTGAGCAAAGGCCTCTTATCACACGGAGAAGGTTTGAGCATTAATGACCACGCTTGCTCAATGCGGGTTGACGATTTATAACTTATAATTAGAAATTATAAGTCCGGGTTTCCTCACGATGTTTACCTTTACCGTATGTCAGTGGTGTCTAAATAATCATAGAAAGTACATATAACTTGGAAAAAGTCACATTGGTACTTGCTAGGTTTCGAACCCTCATGCATGAGAAGCGGGCTCCTTAACCTCCGGGCCACCACGACCTTATTATTTATGACGATTATATGTTGGTATTGGAAAATGTTATGTGACATTCACTCTCAATGCCATTTTTTCAACTACCCTTCTTCCACTCATCTCTAACAAAGCTTTCTGCGGCCAATCCTTGTCGCTCCTCTCAATGCTATTAAACAAACGATAATTTAAATGTTAAATATCGCACCGCACTAGTATTTTACAAAAATAAATTCGTTCAATATTTCAATAGAATAAAATATTGAGAAAGAACTTATGATTCTATTCATCAATCTGTCAAAACATAAAATTTGTCTTACCACCGCGTCGACAATAGTTGATCAAAAAAGGATTGTGCCTCCGGTAACCTCACTCACCCGGCGAAACATTTTTTGCATAACTCCGGTCGAGCCAACCATTTAGACCCTTAATTTTTTAACACAACCAAAATGCATGTCACACGATCTTACTAATATTATAAATGCGAAAGCTACGATGTTTGGATGTTTGTTATTCAATCACGCCAAAAAAGCTGGACGGATCGAATGAAATTTGGCACAGGCATAACATGCTGTGCTTACCTATAAGAGATTGTTACACAAGTATTGTATTATGATGAATGTATTTAATATTTTATCGTGTAAACAATTGTTGGTGAGCCAAATAAATAAAATAAAATAAAAAATACACTCCGGAATAGGATAGAGGCTACTTGTTATCAACATAGCAAGCAGGGAAGTCGCCGGAGGGGCTAGTAGTTTATAAATCAGAATACAACTGGTTAACTGCAAACAAAATATGCATGTGCAGGGATTCAAAAAAAAAACCAAAAACTATTACTCTATGTTTTTTGTAGCATTCAGACTACCTTCCTATTGGCTATTTTCTCAGTTTCAAATTTTATTATAAAGAAAGTTTCAGAAAAAAATGTGACATTCAATTTGTTTTAAATCAGTTGTTACCGCGTTTAGCCCTGTGATTGGTTTGGTTGGAATAGGCCAATCAGAGCGCTGGACGTCACAAACGTGTCGATCTCGTTAAAGCGTTTTCGCACTGCGATCCGAACTCTGTTCCAAAAAACGTAAAAATACAGGTCCAGAAAAATTCGGATAGACTTATGATATTTTTACGCTGGTGTAAGTGTCATGTTCGTGAACGAGCGCCGTTTATTGGGGCTGGTCAGTTTGGAACAGTGTAAATATTTATTTTATTTTATGGGATAGGTCGGCAAACGAGCAGACCGATTACCTGATGGTAAGCAATCAGCGCCGCCCATGGACACCCGCAACGGAGGATTTATTTACGAGTGCGTTGCCGACCTTTTAGAGATTAGTGATTTGGAGATTTAGGGATTGAGGAGGGATTGGGGGAGGGGAAGGATTGGGCCTCCGGTAACCTCGCTCACACGGCGAAACGCAACGCTGTGGTTACTTTACGCCGATTTTCTGTAAGGCCGTGGTATCACTCCGGTCGAGCTGACCCATTCGTGCCGAAGCATGGCTCTCCAACACTTATTTTATTGTCCTTGTCCTTGAGGTTATTTTATATTTCGAATGCTTTGGCTAAATGTTAGTGTTACACTGTTCTCACATAATGGAATCAACTTTAACATACAAAGAATCTGATTGAAAGAGAGTAACCATGGAGGTTCTTGCTCGTTCTTCTCCATCGGAATCTAAACTTTGGAACGAGCGAATAGCTTCACTTAGAGGACTGGCTGACAGACTAACAATTTCTTCTTTTCTTTAAATATTAGTTTGGAAGGTTTATATTTAGTGATAAACATCACTTATCAGAGAGTCCTGCTGCTCGGTTGTTTTTATTCCCTGAATCTGGAGTACCACCCAGTTCCTTCTCCTCCTCGTCCACCGAGCCTGGGCTGCTGTTCATTATTACGCTTGATCCGCAACCTCTAGCGTAACAAATTATATCGCAGCTTTTTTTTTGAGGGTGTTTTTTTGTGAGGGGCAAATCATCAAATGACTTCTCCCGCCCAGGGCCGGGCGGGAGGGAGTGTCAGGCTCTTACTGACTAAAAACCCCCCTGTTCCTTCTCCTGCTCTGGGCCGAGGTCGCGGTTCCTCATTGCGCTTACCCCGCAACCTCGGTTTTTGAGGGTGTTAATAATCCAATTATTAATCTTACAGTGGCAATTCTTTACTGACTAAATACTGCCCCCGTTCCTTCCCCTGCTCCGAGCTTGGGCGTCGGTAAATTATAGAGCTTGATCCGCAACCCCGGTGTGTCAAATTATATCTAAGCCAATTTTTTGAGAGCCTTATATTATCCAATTATTACTCCTGGAGTGTTAGACTCTTATGCTTGGGCCACACTATAAGGGAAATGCCATTAATTGTCGCGATAATCTACGTTAATCGTAGGTGTAATTTGATCACTAAACAAATGATTTAAGGTATATTTTTCATTAATAGGTAACATATATTAACGCGGAAAATTTTTATTTGAATACCTTGATAGGCTTGACGTTTCCAACGGGTCCAACTATCTTGCTTTTCACTTTCACGGGTCACTTTTTCCTAAACTCCCCTCTACTTTTCTAATATTTTCTTTGATAAGAACCTTATCCTGACAATAACAAAAACAACAAAAAAAGAATTAGCAAAATTTGTCCAGGCGTTGTTGAGTTATGCGCTTACCAACACATTTTGCGATTTATTTTTATATATATGATATAGATGTTGTGTAAAAAACTTTTTATAAAGATCTTCACCTTCAGCAGTTTTTAATTTACGATGTATCTATGTTTTTTTTAGCAACTGGAAGAGGTTCGTCAAGTGGGATCTTACAAGAAGGGTACGATGATGGCCGGGAAGAACGTCGCTGATATAGTGGTCATCATGAAGACTCTACCTACCAAGGAAGCTGTGGAAGGATTGTCCAATAAGGTAATTTCGAATGCTTATTTTATGCGATAGTTTAGTAAACGGACAGCTAGGCTTGATGGCATTATTTTTTTTAAGTGGCAAACGAGCAGCCGGATTACCTGATGGTAAGCAATCAGCGCCGCCCATGTACACCCAAGGCAAGAGCAGAGGATTACCTTCATGGGATTAGGGATTTAGAGATTTAGGTATTGGGGGAGGGGAAGGATTGGGCCTCTGGTAACGTCACTCACACGGCGAGACAACGCTGTGGTTGTTTCACGCCAGTTTTCTGTGAGGCCGTGGTATCACTCCAGTCAAACCTTCACTATGAGGGAGCTTGAGGGGGAGAAATCATCAAATTGTCGACTCTTGCCCAGATTGGTGCTAGAGGGAGTGACAGACACTTACTGACTAAATCCACCGCGTTCCTTCTATTGCTCCAGGCCAAGGCCGCGATAACTGATACCTCCTCCTCCTGCCCAATACCTCCTCCTCCCCCCATCCCTAAATTTTCGAAACACTTATCCCCAAAAAGCCGGCAATGCACTCATAACTCCTTCAGTGTTGCGGATGTCCATGGGCGGTGCCAATTGCTTACCATCAGGTAATAAGTCTGAAGGTTTGCCGGACATATCCCATTAATTTTTTTTATTAATTTTAGGTTAACGAAGAACTTAACAAGTTGATGCGAGCTGAGACCCCAAGCACTTCAGTCACCAGCGCGTGCCACGAGCGTGGGTTCACGGTGACGGGCCCCAGCGCCGCTGTCAGGGTGCTGGTCACCACGCTGCATCAGAACCTGAGGAAATTGGAGCCTGAGGTCGGTTTCGATGATGTAGTTTCTTTTTTAATATGAGGTAATAAAACATTGCCCTACAATTGGAACAGTGTTTATACTATGAAGTAATAAAATTGATACACAGTATTTAAACTACTTCTTTCTTGTCATTTATATTTGTACACTATTTATAGAATATTTTTAGTAGGTATTTTATTACTATTATTTTTTGTTTATAATTTTATATATATATAATATTTATATATCTAAAATTATTAGTTGAAAAGGAACCGTTTGTCTTGGTATGGCCATGTGAAAAGGAGGGATGAAAAGCATGTAACAAAAAAAGTCATGAGTATAAATGTGGATGGATGGAGAGGGAGGGGGAGACCAAAGAAAATATGGATGGATTGTGTAAGAATTGATATGGAAGACAGAGGAGTTAGCCATAGCGTGACGAGTGACAGGACAGAATGGAAGAAAAAAACATATTGCGCCGACCCCAAGTAAAACGGGACAAGGGCAGGAAGATGATGATCTAATATTTATATATCTCTATATATATATTTATATATGTTAATCTGTTTCTGTGTTCCGTGAGTGTGTCCGTGGCATCACCAGGCCCTATCAGAATACCAGCGCTGCGGTATTTTTACCTACTGGTGAATTATCGCAGCATATGCTGACATAGTGGCCTTTTTGACCTCGCATAGGTCTTTTATTTTATTTTTAATATTTTTTTGTTGTTGTTTTGTTTATTTTTGTCTGTTTTTTCTTTTTGTATATATAAAATGTAATTATATTTATTTTCTGTGCGAGTCTCAAATAAATGTTTTTTCTTTCTTTCTTTCTATTTTATGGTATATTATTGTATTTTCTGAATTACCTTCTTGTCTGGTACTAGTCATTTTTTGAGAGAAGATCTTTTTTTTTATAAAGTTGCCCCACACTAACATTTTCTCCTGTGTCGTTGGTGCGTTTACAAACATACAATTTCACATACACATGACACCCAGACCCGAAACAACAATTTGTGGATCACACCTGAAACAACAAGTGTTGTTCTGTGCGGGAATTGAACCCGCGGCACGATACACGGCAGCCAGTTACCCAGCCACCGCACCAACCGTGCAGTCATATCAAATGTTTTCTCTCGCCCAGAGTTGGGAAGAAAAAGATTTAGACTCTAACTGCCGAAAACCGTTCAATCCATGGTGGTCTATTGGCTCTGAGAATTCACCAAATATTTACCGATGGAAGTTGAAACGATTTTGTTAAGAATAACGATGGAGTTTATTGCTTGCAAATAGCTTCACTAGAGGCCTCACTGAGTGCATTTCGGGAATTGAGGGATCGCGGACAGATTGCGGGGGAAGATGAGGAGGAGTGACCCTCCGTCAACACACATGGCGAAACAACGCCTTAGTTGTTTCACGCTAGTTTTCTGTGAGGCTGTGGTATCATTCCGGTCGAGCCGACCCATTAGTGCCGAAGCATGGCTCTCATCATCATCAGCCTATAAGTGCCCACTGCTGAGCAAAGGCCTCTTCTCATACAGAGAAGGTTAGATCATTAATCATTAGGCTTGCTCCAGCCCATCGTCCCATCACATTATAAGTCCAGGTCCATCCAACACGATTTTTACCTTTACCGTATGTCAGTGGTGTCTATATAATCGTAGAAAGTACATATAACTTGGAAAAAGTCACATTGGTACTTGCCAGGTTTCGAACCCACACCCTCATGCATGAGAAACGGGCTCTTTAACCTCCGGGCCACCAAAGCAAGGCTCACTCACACTAATAATCTTAACTGTACTTATATATTTTTATTATAATTAGTTTTTACATATTTTCAGGTCCACCTTGACTACAAAGTAATTAGCAGCCATCTGGCCGCGATCCGCCACAGCCGATGGTTCGAGGAAAACGCTCATCATTCTTCTATCAAGGTCAGCCCATATTTAACCACATCATAGGGGGCGCTGGTGTCGTTTATAATCCCTGAGCTGCTCAAAGGCGCAGGCAGATTACCTGATACAAGGGGAAGGATTGGGCCTCAGGTAACCTCACTCACGCGGCGAAACAACACTGTGGTTGTTTCACGTCGGTTTTCTGTAAGGCCATGGTATCTCTCTGGTCGAGTCGGCTCATTCGTGCCGAAGCATGGCTCTCCCACACTTGAGAATTTATTAAGACACTAGCAGTCGCCCACGGCTCTGCCCGCGTGGATGACGATTTTAAGCTTAAAAAAACTCTTTAAACTCTGCGTATAAACCTCTTCCACGAACAATTCAATACCAAAATTAGCCAAATCGGTAAAGGCATTGTTGAGTTATAACGCTACAATGAAAAGTTGCATTGATCTTTATATAATTACTAGCGGCCCGCCCCCGCTTCGCACGGGTCCAACTATCTCGCTATCAAAGTGTCACTTTTTCCTAATCTTCCCCTCTACTTTTCTAATATTTTCTTAAAAACCTTCTCCTGACAATAACAAACACAACAAAAAAAGAATTAGCGAAATTGGTTCAGGCGTTGTTGAGTTATGCGCTTACCAACACATTTCGCGATCCATTTTTATATTATAGATAATTATATAGATTTATCCATCTCTATTCTGTTTCTACAGGTCCTGATTCGTCTCCTTCGTGATATGTGTGCGCGACACTCCGGCCTGGAACCGCTGACTCCCTGGATGATAGACTTGCTAGCTCACCACTGCATCATGAACAACCCAGCGCGACAGGCCTTACCTATTAACGTGGCGTTCAGGTCAGTTGCTAGTAAATGGCGTTGAGGTTTTTTTTGTCATGGGAAAATCATCAAATGACTTCTCCCGCCCAGGGTGAGGCGAGAAAGAGTGTCAGAATGTTACTGACTAAAACTCCCCCGTTCCTTCTCCTGCTCTGGGCCGAGGTCGCGGTGCTTCATTGAGCTTACCCCTCCACCCCGGCTGAACATCAGCCCTATAGGGCCCCGTCTGTGGTGGTCTATTTGCTCTTTGAGGCTCGCGCGGAACGTTACGCGCCGTACGCTCGGGTCTGGTTCTGGTCGAGCGGCGAGCTGCCCTTACTCGCCGTCCGCAGACCAGCGCTCTAGGTGGCTGGAGATCATCTCTTGATACCAGAATGGAACTGAGGGTAAAGTTCCCTAAGATTGGAAAAGGAGGGTCCTTCGAACAAGCGAGGTGGTCATTGCCTGAAGGGCTACTGCCTAATATTCGTGCTTAATCACTTTTTATGACTTTTTTTTTAACACTTAATCACTATAACCTGATGGTAAGCATTCGGATTCGAGGAGTTACTGCTAGTGTCATTTGTGTGATTTAAGTATAGGAATTTGGAGGTTGATGATGGTGGGTAGAAGGATAGGGCTTCTGATAACTTTGGTTTTAGCACCTGCGCCAGGCGGAAGGTGAGGTCGTCGTGGCGTCTCTCAAGCAACTCTTCAAAGAGGGGACAGACAGCCTGTGGTTATTTCTCGCCAATTTTCTCTGAGGTCGTAGTATGAATCCGGTCGAGCCGACCCATTCGTGCCGAAGCATGACTCTCCCAAAGTTACTGTTGATAATGTTATTTAATATCCTCCCCCCCAGACGCGCGCTGTCCCTGCTGGCGGGCGGGCTGTTCCTGCCGGGCTGCGCGGGGCTGGCCGACCCGTGCGAGGCGGCCCACGCGCGCGCCCACACGGCGCTCGACCTCGCCGCGCAGGACCTCGCCGCCGCCACCGCGCAGACGTAACTATACCCTTCCTTTATTTATTTAAAAACTTGATTTTTACATTTTTAAATATTTTCACAAAATAAAAAAACACTTAAAAATATAAAAAGCAGTATCCCACCGGTTACGGGAGGGTTCATGCAACCGGTGGTCAGGGCTCCAGAATAAGAAATCTCCGGACACGCCATGTCTAGAAGTACAGCTTTCTGCATCAGATTCTTGACCCAACCATCTAACGTAAGCCTGCTTAGGTGTTTATCAAGGCTTTTAGCAATGAGACCATTAACAGAAACGACTATCGTCACAATGATTGCTGAGTCTACCCTATATGAGCCTATACCCTTTATTATTAGTCTTTTAATTACCCATCATTACATGAGAGACAGATTTTTTCTTTAGCAATAACTCCCCAGATTGTGGCAGGAATTTATTATGTCATAAGTCGGCAAACGAGCAGACGGATTACCTGATGGTAAGCAATCCGCGCCGCCCATGGACACTCAGCAGAGGAGTTACGAGTGCGTTGCCGACCTTTTAGGGAATAGGGATTTGGAGATTTAGGGATTGAGGAGGGATTGGGGGAGGGGAAGGATTGGGCCTCCGGTAACCTCACTCACACGGCGAAACACAACGCTGTAGTTATTTCACTCCGGTTTTCTGTGAGGCCGTGGTATCACTCCGGTCGAGCCGACCCTTTCGTGCCGAAGCATGGCTCTCCCATACTTTGATATAGATAATATTTTGCACTGATTGCTATCCTAGCGTAATCACACAGCATGGTAAGCAAAAATATTCTAATAAAACCAATAGTGCATCTATGTTAAGAGTCTACAACAGTTTTTTTGTACAGTTACAATCGTGAAACATACTAAATTATTGTAAATCTTGCGCGCTGTCACCCTCTGCAAGGCTCTCTTAGATAGTAGCGTAATGTTTTATTATAGCCTATAGCACTCAGGAACATTGAATTTATCTATCAGTAAAGTTACGCATTTCGACTGCACGTTAGGCGTAGTGGCTGGGCAACTGGCTGCTGTGTAACGTGTCGCAGGTTCGCTACTCGCACGGAACAACTCTTCGTGTGATCCACAAATTGGATCCACAAATTGTTGTTCCGGGTCTGGATATGATGTGCTGGTAGAAATTGGAATTGTAAGTTTGTAAACGCACTCAAAGCTTTTTGCTACGAGCGCCTAGCTTCACTGACAAACAGACTGACAGACTATTCTATTTTGTTGTTTCAAAAGTGCCTGTGGTCTAGTTGGAATGCTTTTTGACTTTGACATTGACATTATCCGAAATGTTCAATGTCAATATTCTATTTTGACATTTCATTTTTTTTATGGTTTAGTTGGAATTAATGATTTTGACTTTGATTATGCGATATATAACTTGTCCCCTCGTGAATCTCTGAGAGAACTATTTAAAACGATAAATATCCTAACGGTACCTTGTCAGTTTATATATGAAAATATTATGTACGTAAGGAAAAATTTGCAATTATTTGAAAAAAGAAGCGATAGACACAATTTTTATACTAGAGGCAAAGATAGGCTGGCTGTGCCACGATTCCGTCCGTCCACAGTACAGAAATCCTTTATGGGGTTCTGTGTAAATTGTTACAAAAAAAAAATCCAAGAAGTGTATTAGATTAGATTAGACAGGCATACTACAAATTTTCAGATTATATTGAGGATAAGAATGCCTGGCAGCATGTTGGTTCGGCTCTACTGGACAATTCTCAAATATGTAGTCAGTAGTTATTAAAATTCTCAAAATTAATGAAACCTTGAATGAGTTTATATAGAAGCATTCTTTTGGATTGTGAGTACGCATATGTGAGCGCCATGTACGAGACAACAAAGGATTAAAATTTTAATGATAGATTAAATAGACCATCATTTGTTCCTTTTTATTAACAACTTGTCTCTGCATTGTTCTCACATAGGGGTACAGTAATGTATAAAAAATGTATTATTGATGAATTGTAAAACAAATATTTTTTTTAAAAGAGCAACGATGGAGTTTCTTGCTCGTTCTTCTCCATTCAAAACTATAATTTGGAACGAGCACCTAGCTTCACTGACGAACACACTGACAGACTGCTATTCTATTTTGACGTTTCAAAAGTACCTATTTATGGTTTATTTGGAATAAATGATTTTGATTTGATTTGATTTGATTTTGTTACAGGTTACTTAGAGTGGTAGCTCGAGGTGGTCACCGCTACGTCTTAGGGCTCCAAGCTTTCGAAGGTGGCAAGGACATATCGACAGAGATCACTGTATGGGATGGTGTGGTCGTCTCCCCCCTTGCTCCAGCTTACCAGGAGACTCCAGAACCGATGGATACTGACGATAAGGGTACAGAATTTTATTATATACTAGCTTCTTTCACGCGGTTTCGCCCGCTTCTCGTACAGCTCCTACAGATCATAGCGTGATGTTTTATAGCTTATATCCTTTCTCAATAAATGGACTAACAAACTTGTTGAATTCCAAGCAGTTGTTCCGGAGATTAGCGCGTTCAAACAAACAAACTCTACAGCTTTATAAATTACAAGCTACTCTCGCGCGGTTTCACCCGCTGCTCTGCTTCAGTTGATCGTGGGGTGATGTTTTATAGCCTATAGCGCTCGGGAACATTGTAGCTATCTATCAGTGAAAGAATTTTGGGAATCCGACCAGCGGTTCCAAAGATTACCCCCTACATACAAACTTACAAATTTTACCTCTTTATAATATTAGTATAGAAGTATAGATGATTTTCCAATAGGCTTTTTGTCAGTTACTGAGCGAAGGCATCTTCTCACTCGAAGGTTTGAAGGTTTACCACCAAGCTTGCTCAGTGTATGGTGATTTCAAACTTTTAAAGTTATAAGTCCAGGTTTCCCCACCATGTTTTCCTTCACCGTATGTCAGTGGTGTTTATTTTGTATGGGATAGTTCTGTATATGGTAGATGGATTACCTGATGGTAAGCAATCGATGCCGCCCATGGACACTCGTATTACCAAAAGAGTTACTACAAGTGTGTAGCCAGCCTTCTAGTAGGTTAGGAATTAAATGTTAGAAAGCACATTTAACTTTGAAAAAGTCATATTGCTACTTGCCAGGTTATAACTAAGGATTATATAAACTAGCGATCCAATGCTTATTGTTAATTTCTCAACTATTTAATTATACATGTTAACCTTTCTCTTCAATAACTTTTTTAAGTGTGGAAGAGCCATGCTTCGGCACGAATAGGTCGGCTCGACCGGAGTGATACCACGTCCTCACTGAAAACCGGCGTGAAACAACCACAGCGTTGTGTTTCGCCGTGTGAGTGAGATTACCGGAGGCCCAATCCTTCTCCTCCCCAATCCCTCCTCAATCCCTAAATCTCCAAATCCCTAATTCCTAAAAGGTCGGCAACGCACTCGTTACTCCTCCGTTGCGGGTGTCAATGGGCGGCGCTGATTGCTTACCATCAGGTAATCCGTCAAATCGTTTGCCGACCTACTACATAAAAAAAACTATCCATTGAATAAACCGCATCAAAATCCGTTGGGTAGTTTCAAAGATTTAATCATACATAGGGTTAAAGGGACAGAGAAAGCGACTTTGTTTTATACTATGTAAAAATAAATGATTGTTTTTTTGCTTTCAGAAGAAGACGTCACCGATGGCGTGGCTGCTTAGGTTAATTAATTTAATATTAAGTTATATTATGTTTAAAAACTTTGGACAGATCTTTAATTAAAGCAATACCTACCATTTTTGAGTTTTATTTTTAGTACCTTACTCTAGTGATCATTGGTGAAGTATAAATCTGATGATTGTCCAGTCATTGACGACAAATGAAGGTCAAGGTCAAGTAATTAGGTCATCAACATTTTTTTTCGTTTACTTTTTGAAGTCGGTATATTTTTATTAAAAATTATTTATTTCACCAATTTTAGTGATAGGCAGAGCAAGCAAGGATAATATTTTTGATAATTGCTTTCGAATGAGAAGACTACGGCTACTTGAGACCGAAAATCACGGTAATAATAGTCCTGAGTAAGTCAGCGTTCAGTGCTGTAAATCGTTGAGGAATTCCCTCGACAATCAATGGTCTCCATCATCATGTATACTGCATTTTACATAATCCATATAGGGGCAAAGTTTTCATCAATATAAATGAATCAAGTCCAAGCACAACATAATTACTCCAAATAGTCTAAGAGATCCCACGACAGTCTCCCAGCTCCATCATCAGATTTACTCCATAGCTTCATTGAATCATATAGGTGCGAAGTTTTCATCGATATATATGAATTAAGTCCAAACACGAGGTAGTTACTGTGAACCGTTCAGAAGTTCCCTGAGCTGTCCTTCGTTCTCATCATCAGACCCCTAATGACAGTCAGTCTGAGGGAGTAGACTGGTAGTGACCAGTCTTGGTGCAAAGTGCTCGCCAATATAAATCATTCAAACACAAGGCAACTACTCCAAATAGTGTAGGAGATCCCTCGATGGTCGTCCGGCTCCATTGTTAGGTCGAGTTCGACCATCGGCAAGTTGTAGCGTTGTAAAAAGCCTACTAAAAAACATGCAAAAACCACTACTCGCCCCTACAATTAAGTTAAGTTACAATACAATTAAGTTACTTTAAGAGTTTTTGAGTATTGAGTATTGAGTACAATTTTAGAAAGTTCCCCTCGGTTTCCCTAGGATTCCATCATCAGATCCTGACATCATAAATGGGACCCTCTCGGGAGTATAACCTTTCAAACAAAACGAATTTTGATAATCGGTTCATAAATGGCGGAGTAATCGGTGAACATACAAAAAAAAACAATGAGCCGAACATAGTACCTCCTTCTTTTTTTGAAGTCGGTAAAAATAGTACACATGCAATCAGAATATTCTTAATAGGTAATTAAGTAATTTAAATTGTATAAAATAATGTGTATCTAATATGAATTATACGTGTCTACTCGCATACCTACTTATTATATTAATTAATATAAACTAAATAACTGGTTTGTTTTATAATGATTTCCTGTATTGTTTATTATATTATATCCGCAAATTAATTGAAATACGAACCTACCCATGTAGGTAAATAAATACATTTATTCAAACCGATTATAAACAGGTAAGTATTTATTAAAGGTATTTGTGTACTAAAGACGAAAATAAGTTACAATTTCAAAGAAAAGCCCCCTACAATCTCCTAAACCCGCTGCAACTCCTGTACTCCTCCTCCTGACTCGTCCCAGGGGCATGAGAACAACTTACGAAGAAAACAATGTATTTATTTTTATTGCGACAATGCCCTTACCCTTCCTGATCCTCTGCAACTCCATCCACCAGGATCTACAGTAGATACAACAATGAAAACTTCGAAATATTGAAATGCAGCCATGCTTCGGCACAAATAGGCCGGCGAAACAGAGTTTACTATACCACGGCCTTTCTTCGAAAAAAAAAACAACTATAGCGTTGTTTCCCCGCGTGAGTGAGGTTCATCATCATCATCAGCCTTTAGGTGGTCACTCACTGCTGAGCAAAGATCTCTTCTCATACGAAGAAGGTTAGAGCATTAATAATAGTGATAAATACGTGTTGGCGATTTCAAACTTATAATTAGAAATTATAAGTCCAGGTTTCCTCACGATGTTTACCTTCACCGTATGTCAGAGGTGTCTAAATAATCATAGAAAGTACATATAACTCGGAAAAAGTCACATTGGTACTTGCCAGGTTTCGATACCGCTCCCTCATGCATGAGAAGCGGGCTCCTTAACCTCCGGGCCACCACGACTGAGGTTAACGAAGGCTTATTCCTCCTCAATTTCGAAATCCTCAGAATCCCTTACCCATAAAGGTCAGTAACGCATTTGCAACAACTCTAATTTTGTTAATGAATGGGAAGCAAATATAGGTGTCCATGGGCGGCGCCAAAGAGAAGTGGTTATATCGTCATTGGGCGTCGCCGATGGCTTAACATCAGACTAAATGTAGGTAGATATTTACGTATTTATTTTAGTCAAAATGTTGTACATTAGCAATAAAGGTTTTCCTATTAACAATTCTATGCCTCTGGTCTTATGGTTTAGGATATATTATTCTACAGTAAATCAAAAAATACAAAATTCAAAGTGTGGGAGAGCCATGCTTCGGCACGAATGGGTCGGCTCGGCCAGAGTGAAATAACCACAGCGTTGTGTTTCGCCATGTGAGTGAGGTTACCGGAGGCCCAATCCTTCCCCTACCCCAATCCCTTCCCATTCCCAAAATCCCCAAAATCCCAATCCTTAAAAGGTCAGCAACGCACTCGTAACTCCTTCTTTGTTGCGAGTGTCCATGGGCGACGCCGATTGCTTACCATCAGGTAATCCGTCTGCTCGTTTGCGGTCCTATCACATAAAAAAAATAGATCTACTTTTCCGACTTGATAATAAAGTTTCTATTTGCATACAAAAACTAATCGTTCCGATGCCCTCAAAAGTCGTCCTCGACTAACAACAGTAGAAAAACAATTTTACGCTTGAAGTTTAAAGTTCATTTTGCCTCACAAAAAATAAATGCTTGCACTTGTTTTATTCTAAAATCAAGTTTATTATGAAGAGGATAAGTTTGATATTTGTTAAGTTTATGTTTTATAATGTAATATATTGTATTCTGTTCAATAGAACGGCATTAGTTTGTCGTATTTGAAAACAGAAGGTTGTATCGAAAACTTTACACAGCATGTGTTAAGTTTATACAAATCTACTCAGCTCCTATAGGTCGTAGCGGGATGATATAAATATCAAAATATTCCCCTTTAAATAAGCTATCAAATGCAACAAGAATCATCAAAATCGGACAGCTAGTTTTGTAGATAAGTGCACTCAAAAAACGAACAGAAACAATGTTTTTGAAAATAATTTTTGTAGTGTGTTTTCTTTCTAAATGTGGTTTAGCTGACAATAAAATGGAGTTTTTGGACAACCCTGAAGGTACGTTCTCAAAACTTTTAGTTCTTGTTCGAAGAAGGAGTTCATTATCATAAATGACTGCACGGTTGGCGCGGTGGCTTGGCAACTGGCTGCCGTGCAACGGGTTTGATTCCCGCACGGATCAACTCTTTGTGTGATCCACGAATTGTTGTTCCGGGTCTGGGTGTGATGTGTATGTGGATTTGTATGTTTGTAAACGCACCCAAGACACAAGACAAAATCCTAGTGCGGAGCAACGTTTTTTTTTTAAATAAAAAAATAAAAATACTTAAATAAAATAAATTATTTTTAAAAACTTCGCCTCATACTAAAACATATTTCTTCCTGTGTCGTGGGTGCGTTTACTCATAATCACATACCTACTCATCACAGCCAGACTTGGAATAACAAGATTGAAGACTACACAAGGAGTTGTTCCATGTAGAAGTTGAAGCCACGACAGGTTGCGTAGCAGCCTCTTCCTAAGGCACTGCACAGCAGAATTGGAGGTAGGGTTGAGACCGCGGTACCTTATTGCGCTTACCCCGCAACCCCGGCTGAACATCAGCCCTATAGGCCCCCGTCTGTGGTGGTCTATTGGCTCTTTAAGGCGCGCGCGGAACGCTACGCACCGTACGCTCGGGTCTGGTTCTGATCGGGTGGTGAGCTATCTATGCTCATCGACCGGAGACCCGCGCTTACTGTGGCCGGAGATCGTCCCTTGATCCCCGACGCCCGTAGTGTCGCCTGTTGCGGCGGCTGGGGCGTGAGGAGGAGGATTGCTCCCTCACGCGAACCGCCTCCGTCTTTGCGAGCATGACTGCTTCAGATTGGAAGGGCTGAGGCAGCGGTATCTTTATGCGCATGCCCCGCAACCCCGGCTGGACATCAGCCCTATAGGGCCCCGTCTGTAGTGGTATATTGGCTCTTTGAGGCGCGTAGAACGCAACGCGCAGTACGCTTAGGCCTGGTTCTGGTCGGGTGGTGAGCTGCCCTACTTTCTCGCTGACCGCAGAACCGGAGATCGTGGCTCGAACGTTCTCAGACTGTCACGAATATTTAACCCCCGACGGGAAAAGAGGGGTGTATAACTTTGACATGTCTGTCTGTCTGTGGCATCCTGGATCCTGAACGGATGAAGAGATTTCAATTATTATTTTTTGTATTAAAGGTGACTTACGTGTGAGTGTTCTTAGACATGTTTGACGAAAATCGGTTGAATCGTTTAGAAGTTATGGGGGGGTAAGTGGGGAAGGGTAACCGAAGGTCTGGAAATATACTCGAGTGGGGTGTCTAATGAAAGCGCACTGAAAGGGAATGTTGATGACTTAATCGAGAGAAAATTATATAAAATACCGATAAAAAGATAAATCACAAAAAATAAAAAAATAGACCCCCGAACAACATGGAAATATGTAGTAGATAATAAAATATTTGGATCGATCCCCCACCGCCACGTTTTTTTTTAATTATTACTTTTTAAAGGAATGTTAGACTTTTCGTCGAGGGTTCTCTTTTAATTGTAAATTTATTGATATTATTTAAGACTAAAATTAGTCAAAGTTCAGTCGTCCTCGAGTTTTATCGTAAGCATTTTAAACAAAAAGAATATCTATATATAGATTACTATAAACAATTTAATTATTAATAATTTCCTTATATGCCTGAGTAAGTAATTATTATTTTAAGATTAACTTGTCTCGCCTATGTATGTGTGTATAATATTTGTACGTGAATATCAAGGTCAAGCTTAGGTTTCCTGTACAAACATACATAATCAATTCATTTCCTAACTAAAATTATCATAATCACTGCTGAAGAAAGACCTTCCCCTTAATTTTCATTAATGTTTTTTTATTGTTTATTTCGAATTGGGCAGGTATTTGGTCGCTGTCACGCCTGGTGATAAGCGATAATGTGACCTAGGATGGAGCACGCCTACTTATAAACAACTAGCTAATCTCACGCAGTTTCACCCGCTGCCTGCTCAGCTCCATTTGATCGTAGCGTGATGTTTTATAGCCTATAGCACTCAGGAACATTATAGCTATCTATCAGTGAAAGAATGTTGGCAATCCGACCAGCGGTTCCAAAGATTACCCCCCTACATACAAACTTACAAATTATACCTCTTTATAATATTAGTATAGATCTATTCACTCCGAAGACACCTAAGTTATACCCATCAGGGAACACAGACTCCAATAAAGAATTTCACTCCTAAGAGGTTTATTTTTAGCAAGGGTGTGGCGTTTGGCCTCTATGTCGCCTGATGGTAAGCGATGATTCGAGACTCGGACCTTGAAAAATGACGTCAGCACGCCACTACATTTCTTGAATGTCTTTTGGATAATGGTCGTCACTTGAGCGCTTTTCTGGTTTACCAATTGCCAAAAATGTAATTGTATTATTACCTACACGAAAACAAGCTGTTACCCCATCCACATTCCGACCTCTTCAGCATCATCATCATCATCAGCCTATAAGTGCCCACTGCTGAGCAAAAGCTTCTTCTCACACGGAGAAGGTTAGAGCATTAATCACCGCGCTTGCTAAATGCGGGTTGGCGATTTCAAACTTATAATTAGAAATTATAAGTTCAGGTTTCCTCACGATGTTTTCCTTCACCGTATATCAGTGGTGTCTAAGTAACCATAGAAAGTACATATAACTCGGAAAAAGTCACATTGGTACTTCTTAACCTCCGGACCACTACGACATCTCCGACCTGGCTTACCATAGCTTAACATATAGACGTGTGATTGGTCCAGGGCATCCAGGGTCAAAATGCATCAGGGATGGCGTGGAAGGCGTCTGCACCAGCATCTACACGTGCCTCACGGCTGTCCAAGATGTTAAGGATAAAAAGTATCCTCCTGTAAGTTTATCTAAGTAAATATTTTTCTTCATGAATAACTGGTTCTTGGGGTCAACTGGTGACGGGAGGAAAAAAATATTTTGATACCACCTCCAATCTTTGAATGCACGTCACCTTCAATTTTTGACTGCACGGTTGGTGCGGTGGCTGGGCAACTGGCTGCCGTACAACGTGTCGCGGGTTCGATTCCCGCACGGAACAACTCTTTGTGTGATCCACAAATTGTTGTTCCGGGTCTGGGTGTCATGTGTATGTGATATTCTATGTTTGTAACCGCACCCACGACACAGGAGAAAATCCTAATGTGGGGCAACGTTTTTTTTTTAAATAAAAAAATCTTGACTAAATTCAAAGACCAAGTTGCTATCGGACTTGGGTCAGATTACACTCAATCCAATTGAGGTCCAACAGGGCTAATATTCGACCAACCGGAGTTGGAGGGAAACGCAAAAAGGAACAGCGGCCTTGGCCTGGAGCAGGAGAAAAGATGAGGTGGTTTTTAGTCAGTTAGTGTCTGACACACCATCTCGCCCCTCTTAGAACGGGAGAATTCATTTGACGATTTTCCCTCCTCGCAACCTAGAAATCATTTCACTGTATTTTTGTTGAGACCGTATGACCGCTCTTGGGTTCAAGCTGACCAAAATAAACCTAAAATAGCAATCGGCGCTGTATTGCCTAAGTATGGGCAACACCAGATTAGTTAATAATTCGTATCCAGCATCATTAGCATCATAATCAGGGATTTGAAGATTGGGAAACGAGAGAAAGAATATGGTCCTCAACTAACTTCACTCACACGGCGATACACCACACAAACGTTGTTTCACGCTGGGTTTATTTGAGGTCGTGGTATCACTCCGGTTGAGCAGGCCCAGCAGTAATGAAACGCCGCCCATCCACACTTTAGTGAAAAAAAATCTTTGTGGAGAAATTGATCCTTGGCCTTTTTGCAGTTATGCAGATATCAAGGAGACACGCCTATCATATGCTGCACTGACTGCGAGCTTGTCAATGACACAAGGTAAGGAAAATAATTTACTGAACACTCCGCTCTGGGTCTTGGTAGACTTAGAGAGTCTACCAAGACCGAACCCCATTGTGCAACAACTATTAAGATCTTCAACATTCTTTGGTGGAAGAGCAGACGTATAACCTGATGGTAAGCAATCCTGCGCCGCTCACAACACTAGAGAAGCCTTGCAAGTGCGTTGCCGACCCTTTGGGGACTAACACTCGGTTTCTGAAAGGCTTGTCAACGCTAAAATTATCTAATCTCCTGTTAAATCTCTTGTCAAGTCATCTGATTGGTTGTTGATAATTCAGTCAACCAATCAGATGACTTGACAAGACATTTAATTGATTTTAACATTGATCGGCCTTTCGGAAAAAGGGTGTAAGTTTTGGAGGTTTAGGAATTGAGGAAGAGGAAGGATGGAAGGACGCCCAGTCCGATAACCACACTAAAACGACGAAGCACTATGCTTTGTTCGCTTACCCCGTCTCAAAAGAGTAAAAATGGTAAATATTCTAAAACTCCTATGTCTCCAATCTCTTCGTCTTTAATCAGGATATATCTTGACTCGGATACTAGCATTGCATTTGGCTGGTGTTCTAATACGATATGTTTGTCAATTACAGAACCATGTACATAAGCCAGACGAGTGGTCGATGGTATTTTCGTAATGGACAGAAAGCTAGAGACAGTAAGTATAAGATGGTCTCCGAAGACTGGCAAAACATCCTCCTTATATGGTTGGTCCAAAGGTTATACGGACATCCATACGCGCAAAGCGGTTTGTGTCCAGTTTTATAATCGGAACCGTTAAGGAGTGGCATTCCTTGTCAGAGTCTGTGTTCCATAGGGACGTGGATGTTTTGAAAGTTTTTTTTTTATTATAATGTTGCCCCACATTAGGATTTTCTCCTGTGTCGTGGGTGCGTTTACAAACATACAATTTCACATACACATCACACCCAGACCCGGAACAACAATCTGTGGATCACACGAAGAGTTGTTCCGTGCGGGAATCGAACCCGCGACACGTTGCGCGGCAGCCAGTTGCCCAGCCACCGCGCCAACCGTGCAGTCAACAGTCTGAGTGAATAGATTGTTTATGGGTAGGCGTGCTCTATCGTAGATCAGATCATCGTTAACCACCAGGCGTAATAGCAGCCGACTGCCTGTCTATTACGCCATAAAAAAGGTCGTCAGACCTACAGTGGAGTGATGATGATTACCAAATTGCATTGTAAAAGCGTCCGGATCACCTGATGGTAAGCAAACTGCGCTGCCCATTGATATCCGTATCACCAGACGAACTACAAGTGCGTTTCTAGACCTTGAGATGGTTGAGGTTTTGGTCTTCTAAGCCTCGCTCATACGGCGTTGGCGTACTCCGGTTTCCGGTGAGACCGTGGTATCATTTCGGTTTCAAGCCAATTGGGAGGCAGCATGGTTCTCCCCCGCATATAATGGATAATGTAGGGGAGGTCTACAGTTTAAGTGGCTTATCTCTGGTGGCTGCAGATGATGAATTGCATTTCAGAATGCCTGGATTACATGCAGGAGTTGGAGCCATGTGGTGATCATTTCACCGCCACCATAGCTAAGGACTTGGATCCTGAAAGGAAGTGCTACATCCCTCGTCCAACTGCCGTGGGAGTGGCTGGTGGGACTGATGCCGAACGAGGAAAATTTCCACATATGGTAAAAAATATTTAGTTACTAGTAGACGGGTCACCTGATGGTAAGCAATCAGCGACGTCCATGGCAACATTGGAAAAGTTTTAGAAGCAAGTTGTCGGGTTTTAAGAAAATGTCATGGTTGCACGAAGGTTAGGGCGTCTGCTTCTCATGCATGGGCACTTCGAAACCTGGAAAGTACAGTCAAAAGTCAAAGTCAAAATCATTTATTTCAATTAGACCCACACAGGCACTTTTGAATGTCAAAAAAAAATTTTATGATATAAAGTGTCAGTCTGTCGGGCAGTCCTCTTATGCCCGGTTCCTATATTTAACGAATCGTCGTTGTATACGCATTACGACCAAATGACATTACGAATAGTTATCTTGACCGTCTACTGACGGTTAAAATATTTATAGGAACACCACAGACACCATAGATCTCCATACAATTCGCTTACCGACATCCGTTAGTTGCAAACCGTCAGTAAGTTGCACGACGAGACGTTTGTTATAGGAACGGTTTTAGCTTACGAGTCGTATATAAAACTACTATTCGTAACTAAAACGGATCGTTTCTCAATTATAGGAACAGGGCATTAGTGAACCTATATAAACGAGCAATCGTTCCAAAGTGTAGATTCCGATGGAGAAGAACTAGCAAGAAACTCCATGGTTACTCTTTATAAATCAGTGTCACATAAAGATTCTTTGATACATTATTTAGTTGGTTTGATTATGTGAGAACAGTGTAACGCTAATATACAGAGAAACATAAAAAGAAAATAACCTTACCACCAATGTGACTTGTTTTAAGTACTTTCTAAGTTTATTTAGCAGCAATGCAAAGATTGTGAGCAAACCTATAATAACTAATTATAAGTTTGAAAATCGTCAATCCGCCTTGAGCAAGCGTGGTGGTTAATGCTCAATCCTTCTCCGTGTGAGAAGAGGCCTTCGCTCAATAGTGGGCAATTACCTTAAGGGGCTGATGATGATGTTGCCAGGTTATTGAGGGTCATCCTCATCCTCGAACCAGGGTTGGAAATTCAATGATACTTCGGCATGGGTCGGAACACAGTGACTTTTAGTCAGTAAATGTCTACAAACAATTGGTTAGTTTCCAACTACCTAGTCAAATTCAATACTTTTATCCAAATGTCAAAAACGATACTTTACTATGAAATTTGTATGAAACACTGAGTTATGACGTCATACTTTTTTTTGTCAAATAGCTTACTCATTTCTTAAAATTAGCTAAAAAATATCTAAAATTTAATAAGTATATCAATCGATCGATGAATAAAAGTGTAGTTATTTTTCAATATTTTATTGTATTGAAACGTCAAATTAATTTATTTTTGACCTAGGATAGTAACCATTTTGATGATTTTCAAAAAAGAAGGCATTTATAACCTCGCTTGGTCGGAGCATCCTCTTTTTCCAATCTCCGTCTCAATTAGGTTCAGTAGTTTAGGCGTAAAGAAAAGACAGACAGACAGACAGAGTTACTTTCGAATTTTAGTTTGGATAATATTAGTTTAGGTTAAGTTTGGTTCCCTAAATACATATTTGTCTTTCTGTTTTCAAACAGGCTTTACTGGGTTATGGCCTCGACGAGGATTCGGCTCAATGGGTCTGCGCAGGGTCTCTGATCAGCGAAAATTTCGTATTGACAGCTGGCCACTGTATCTCTAGCCCTTCACTGTGAGTATAATTTCCTTTAAAGAGCTCAATTTGAAGTGGTCAAGTCAACTCTTAGGTGACGTCATTGTGAGAGCCGTGTTAGCCTGGAGATAATCCACCGCTTGAAGATTTTATTTGACCTTTTTTTTTGGATTGACTTGGCAAACGAGCAGAGCGATTACCTGATGGTAAGCAATCAGCGCCATTTGTGGATACTCATAATATAAGAGTAGTTACTACATTTGCGTTGCCTAAGAGGCCTTATGGGTTATCAGGGATGTAGCCTCTTGGTGTTTCAAAGGTGTCTAGGAGGAGCGCCGATTGCTTACCATCAGGTCCTACAAAAATGTTTCTTTTTTCAGAGGTGAAGTGAAGTATGTAGCTTTAGGTATCCTGAAACGGTCGGATCCTTCAGACCTATGGCAGATTTACCACGTGAAGAGGATCATCGCTCACCCTGACTACACCCCCCCCTCAAAATACAATGATATAGCTCTACTCGAGACTCAAACCAGGTAAGTCTCATACTTCTATTATATCTCATTTAGCAAATCGATTGTCCAGACAACTGGTGGTAGCGAGGTTCACTGTCCAGTGACACGGACGCTGGTATCGCCGAGAGCTAATGTTCACATGTAAACAGTGACTCGTGTAGTGTAGATGTCCAGTCAACTGATGGTAGCGAGGTTCACTGTCCAGTGACACGGACGCTGGTATCGTCATGAGCTAATGTTAACATGTAAACAGTGACTCGTGTAGTGTAGATGTCCAGTCAACTGATGGTAGCGAGGTTCACTGTTCAGTCACACGGACGCTGTTATCGCCATGAGCTAATGTTCACATGTAAACAGTGCCTCGTGTAGTGTAGATGTCCAGTCAACTGATGGTAGCGAGGTTCACTGTTATTTAATATTCTTTCAGGGTTGTCTTCTCCGACGTTGTGAGACCAGCTTGTTTACATTTCGAAGAGATAAAGAATGACAACAAAGCTGAGGCCACAGGCTGGGGAGCCCTAGGACTCCGGAAAGGATTGGCTGACACTTTGCAATCCGTACGTTAACCTTGGTAGTCCTTGAAGGCATAATTTTTTTGAGGAGGAAATCAACCTGGTAATCAAGTTTGGGAGAGCGAAACTTCGGAACGAATGGGTCGGCTCGACCGGAGTGATACCACCACGCCACGGCCTCACAGAATACCGGCGTGAAATAACCCACAGCGTTGTGTTTCGCCGTGTGAGTGAGGTTACCGGAGGCCTTTCCCCTCCTCCAACCTCCAATCCCTCCTCAATCCCTAAATCTCCAAATCCCTAATCCCTAAAAGGTCGGCAACGAACTCGTAACTCCTCCGCTACGGGTGTCCATGGGCGGCGCTGATTGCTTACCATGAGGTGATCCGTCGGCTCGTTTGCCGACCTATTACATAAAAAGAACTGACTTCTCTCGCTCAGGGTATGGCGAGAGGGAGTATCAGACTCTTACTAACAAAAAACCCCCCCGTTCCTTCTCCTTCTCCAAGCTGAGGCCGCGGGACCTTATTGCACTTGATCCACGATCCTTAACTACACCGGAAAGATGAGAAGCCATTTCAGCAAGTATATAAAAAAACTTGTATTTATTAATTGCTTTTAACTTTTTTTGGTTTCTCTACTCCAGGTATACCTCCAGGAGTTTCCAGAAGACGAGTGTTCCAAGCTGTATCCTCTCCATAGGCTGTTGAGGCGAGGCTACGATCACAGGACACAGATGTGCTATGGTCATCATGAGGAAGTAAAGGATACTTGCGAGGTACAGTCTGGCATGATGTGACTAGACGTCATAATGTGACTTGACGTCATAATGTGACTTGACGTCATAATGTGACTTGCCGCCATAATGTGACTTGACGTCATAATGTGACTTGACGTCATAATGTGACTTGACGTCATAATGTGACTTGACGTCATAATGTGACTTGACGTCATAATATGACTTGACGTCATAATATGACTTGACGTCATAATATGACTTGACATCATAATATGACTTGACGTCATAATGTGACTTGGCGTTATAATGTGACTTGGCTTTATAATGTGACTTTACGTCATAATGTGACTTGACTTCATAATGTGGCTTGGCGTTATAATGTGACTTGACGTCAAAATGTGATTTGACGTCATGCTGTGTTGACTTCATATACACGTTTAAAGACAAAATCAATTTAATCTCTTGTCAAGTCATCTGATTGGTTGTTGATAATTCAGTCAACCAATCAGATGACTTGACAAGAGATTTAACAGGATATTAGTTAATTTTGGCGTTGACAAGCCTTTCAGAAACCGGGTGTGAGAGTTAAACTTTGTATTATTTAGATAAATCTTTGAGTAAAATTACTTATTACTATTTTCTACTAGCGGCCCACCCCCTCTTCGAACGGGTCCAACTATCTCGCTAACAAGGAAAGTGTCACGATTCCCAATTCTATCTTCGACTTCTTTAAATTGTCTTTATTAAGAACCTTATTAACCCGATGATAATAAATTCAACAAAAAAAAAATGAGCAAAAAAGATCCAGTCATTCTTGAGTTGGTTATAGTCGAATGACCCGCGGGCCATTATAAACCTTCCTCTTCAATCACTCTTATCTACTAAAAAAAACCTCATCAAAATCCGTTGCGTAGTTTTAAAGACTTAAGCATACATAAGTGTGGGAGAGCCAAGCCTCGGCACGAATGGGTCGGCTCGACCGGAGTGATACCACGGCCTCACAGAAAACCGGCGTGAAACAACCCACAGCGTTGTGTTTCGCCGTGTGAGTGAGGTTACCGGAGGCCCAATGCCTCCCCTTCCCCTATCCCTTCCCAATCCTTATATCCGCAACCCCTATCCCCAAAAGGCCGGCAACGCACTCGTAACTCCTTTGGTGTTGCGGGTGTCCATGGGCGGCGCCGATTGCTTACCATCAGGTAATGAGTCTGCTTGTTTGCAGACTTATCCCATAAAAAAAAACATAGGGCTGTCCCTTTGTTTTTTTTTATGGGATAAGTCAGAAAGCGACTTTGTTTTATACTATGTAATGATATTATTGATCATCCTATTTACAAATTTCTCTTCATCTCCTCAGGGCGACAGCGGTGGTCCTCTACAGAATACATTCCATATATCATCGTGTCAATACGTTGTGATCGGGGTGACATCTACCGGCCGGCAGTGCGGACTACTCGGCAGTACTGGATTGTATACTAGGGTGTCCAGCTATTTGCATTGGATCGAGTCGATTGTATGGCCTTAGTTTTAATAAAAATAACATGAAAGTATAATTATTTTTATTTAAATACACTCAAGTGTGGGAGAGCCATGCTTCGGCACGAATGGATCGGCTCGACCGTAGTGATACCACGGCTTCACAGAAAACCGGTGTAAAACAACCACAGCGTTGTGTTTCGCTGTATAAGTAAGGTTATCGGAGGCCCAATCCATCAACTCCCCTAATCCCTCCCGGATTCCTATTCTCTAAATCCCTAATCCCCAAAAGGTCGGCAACGCGCTCGTAACTCCTCCGTTGATACGGGTGTCCATGGGCGGCGCTGATTGCTTTCCATCAGGTAAGTATTGCGTGTGCGCGTTTGCCGACCTATCACATAAAAAAAAACTAGCGACTCGTCCCGGCTTCGTATGGGTGCAATACTGATACTAATTTCTCAACTATTTAATGGATGTTATTATACATATAAACCTTCCTCTTCAATCACTCTATCTTTAAAAAAACCGCATCAAAATCCGTTGCGTAGTTTTAAAGATTTAAGCGTACATAGGGATATAGGGACAGAGAAAGCGACTTTGTTTATACTATGTAGCGATGATTTATTGCATTGTAAACTCAAAATTTGACTGTTTAACGGCTGTTTTTTCAATGGTTACATAAAAGTTACCTGTGGAATAATTATGATGCTGTCGCGTTACAATGTTTGTATAAGACAGTGACAGCAACAATTTTATTCCTTAGATAACATTTATCTGACTATTGAAAAATCAGTTCTGTGTCAACTATGACAGCGTTTAGAACAATCAAACCAGATTCTATCGTAGTTCAAGCCTTTAATGTCATCAGTTATTCGTTAACCTGGCAACTTTCCAACGACTGATTCAATCCAAGGTATGTAGTATGTGACTTTGGTGTACATTCCGGAGCTGCCCGGGAAACCACACGCTTTTCCATACGAGGTAACCCCAAAAACGACGGCAATGCATGGGTAGCCTGGATCTGCGTCCTTTTGCAACGGCCCGCCGCTGTCTCCCTGTGAAATCATGTTATTAAACTGAGAAAGATTAAAAATCATATTGGTACAGTCAGCTGCAGAGGAAAGGATCCCCCTATGCAGATAGCTGCATAAATATGAAGGCACCGGGGGGTTGGTACAAACATCAACATCCCGATCATCGTCTTCACAGTGGATCGCAGGGCGTAGGATTTTATAATTAGACCGAATAAATTACAAAAATAACGGAAGTCGGTAATCCGTCTCCTATGACAGTCATAGCGCTCGCGCTCCACCATAATGCGCACTATAGCAGCGGTAAGAACCCTCTTTGAGGAGTGGCTTGAGAGACGCCACGGCGTCCTCACCTTCCGCCTGACGCAGGTGCTTACCGGGCACGGCAGCTTCGGTAGGTTCCTGTTTCGGATCCAGCGGGAGGAAACGCCCGAGTGTCGTCATTGTGAGGACCACCTAGAGGATACGGTACCTAGAGGTAGCGGTATGCCCTGCGTGGGCTGAGCACCGCCGTATCCTCAGGGAAGTGATCGGCGGCGGCGACCTCTCGCGCCCGGCCTTAGTCGAGGCCATGGTGCGGAGTGAGAGGAACTGGGACGCCGTCTACTCCTTTTGTGAAGCAGTCATGCGCCCCAGCAGCCGCAACTGGCGACACTACGGGCGTCGGGGATCAAGGGACGATCTCCGGCCACCGTAAGCACGGGCCTGCGGTCGGCGAGTAAGAGCAGCTCGCCGCCCGACCAGAAGCAGCCCCGAGCGTACGGCGCGATGCGTTCCGCGCGCGCCTCAAAGAGCCATTAGACCACCACAGACGGGGCCCTAAAGGGCTGATGTTCAGCCGGGGTTGCGGGGTAAGCGCAATGAAGCACCGCGACCTCGGCACAGAGCAGGAGAAGGAACAGGGGGGTTTTTAGTCAGTAAGAGTCTGACACTCCCTCCTGCCCGGCCATGGGCGGGAGAAGTCATTTGATGATTTTCCCCTCACAAAAAAAAACCATAATGCGCACGCAGAACTGTCAGTTTGACGTTCCGCCAGAGTACGATTCATTGCACCCTCGTCCGATAAATTGTGATAAAAGCGACGCGTCGTCACATATTTGTACTTCAGAGGGGGTCCATTTCTCTGCACCTGACCGTACAAGATGGCAAACTTTTTCAGAGTTATATTAACTTTCTAATATGTTTATTTAGACAACACTGACCCTCTACGTTTGAGAGTCAAGCTTCGGCACGAATGGGCTGTATCGAAAACAACGGGATCGGTGGCCCGGCGACACAAAACCCTAGGTTAAGTTCTAGCCTACGCGATACCTACATACATAAGTGAATGTTCCACTTACCGAAACTGCTACTGATGCGCCTCGATGCTATCACAGTCAGTCAGTCAATGGTCTATAGGGATTAGGGTACCCGTGAGGACCGTGAGGAGGATTGATGAACTATTTAAGGGAATGTGAAGGGGATATTTAAGGAATTCTTTGACCTTGTGATCCAGCGTCCGGCACTTCACACCAGAAATTATGCGCATACCAACTTCGCGAACAATCTACTATAAGCGCGGGCGCAGCAACAAAATATATTAAAAGTATGGAATCCCGGTCCGCATTTCCAAATTATTGAATCGGAGGATATTACCAACACGAACGTTCCGAATCAACGATTCCAACCGACTCCGCGAAGTCCTCGGCTCGGACGTTATTTGAAATATATCTAAATTTGCGGGTACACCATAAGATATTTGTTATCAAGATATTACGAAGTACCCACATTAGGATTAATATTTTATAATAGCAATCTATTCCGAACAGTCCCCCGCCCCAGTCAGACGTACTCTGACTGAGCCCAAAATCGGAGGATCAGGATTAACAAACTATGTTACCGGAAGCCGTGACAAACCTGCCACGGCTCTTTTTAAAATGGAGTCTCCCACCAGGACCTCTGCTACTCGTGGAACACCATCCGACCCTAGGAATAGCCTCAAAATTCGACCACGTCTCCAAGACAATGGGGGCATATTCATTTCCTTAACTAGGACAAGGTCACCAACCTTTGGTGGATCAGTCTTATCAGACCAACGAACACGCTGCTGCAATAAGTGAAGATATTCCAAGTTAAATCTCTTCCAAAAACTCTGGGATAACTGTTTCAGCAATTCAAAACGTGTAAGCCGATTGACTGGAATGTCAGTAAAGGGATATTCCGGCAGAGCAGTAAGAGGACCACCTATTTAAAAATGACCTGGTGTCAAAACTTCCAGGTCATTTGGGTCCGAAGAAACAGGACAAAGCGGTCTCGAATTGAGAACAGCCTCAATTTTGCAAAAAACTGTTGTCAATTCCTCAAATGTGAGAACGGTTTCACCAATAACTCTGCGAAGATGTGTTTTAGCTACCTTCACAACTGCCTCAAAAATACCGCCCCAAGACGGATAGGCAGGAGGGCTAAACTGCCATCTAATGCCACGCTGGGAGAGTGAAGTTGCGATTGGGGTCTCATTCTCGGATAAAAACTTATAAACTTCAGATAAATACCGATCACTTCCCTTGTAGTTGGTCCCGCAGTCGGACCGAATCAAACTCGGCAACCCACGACGACTGACAAATCGAGACAAACATGCAATAAAGGCTTCAGTGCTTAGGGCAGAGACAACCTCTAAGTGTACAGCCTTGGTAACGAGGCAAACAAATACGCACAGGTAGGCTTTTATCACCCTAGCATTTCGCATTGAGGAAACCTTAATTAAGAAGGGACCTGCAAAGTCCGTACCGACACCAGAGAAGGGCCTGGAAGCCCTCACTCGATCAGGAGGCAGATCTCCCATTTGAGGTTGCGTAATAGCAGCCTTCAACCTATAACAGGGAATACACTGAAAGATGACATTACGAATAGCTCTCCTAGCTGATAATATCCAAAACTCCTGGTGAAGTATAGCCAGTAGGGTATTCAAACCTGCGTGAGCATTCTTGACGTGCCGATCGGTGATTATCAACTTCACCAACGGGCAGCCTTCCTTAGGCAGTAGGAGGGGATGTCGAGTTCCATACGGCAACACGGATTGCCGTAACCTACCTCCAACCCGTAACAAACCCTTTTCGTCAATGAAGGGGGTCAGACGACCGACAGCACCTTTCAACTTTACTCGTCCATCCTTCAGAGTTGTCAACACCGTCTCGAAGCATTTACCCTGAACGAAACGAACCCAAAACATTAATGCTTCCTGTCTTTCTTCAGGGGACAGCACTGAAGAAGATCGTCGGGCAGATAAGTGCCTAGAATTATGAACGAACCGTTTGATCCAACCGGTTACACCCAATAACTTATCTAAGGAGCTAAACCGATTCAGGAGGGACGTTAAGTCCTGCGAAACCTCCTTTAATACAACAAGAGCCCTTAATCCTGGAAGAGGCTCAACTAAATCCACAGCAGCTTGAGGCCAGCTACATTCTGGCTGAGATAGCCAGGCTGGTCCCCACCACAAAGGATGATCCAGTAGGACCGAAGAATCACAGCCACGTGATGCACAGTCAGCTGGATTCCATTCTCCGGGGACATGTCTCCAATCTAACGCGGCAACCGATTGCTGAATTTGGGAGACGCGATTGGCTACAAAAACTTCTAAAGAGTGGACAGATGCTCTCAGCCAAGAGAGAACAATTTGACTATCTGTCCAAGCAAACACCTTTTCAATTTCAACCTTCTGGCCTAAGGTCGACATTAAATGATTAAGAAGCCGAGTCAGGAGAGCAGCTCCAGACAACTCCAGTTTAGGAATAGTTAGTCTTGATCGTATAGGAGCAACCTTGCTCTTAGCCATAACTAACTTAACAGTTATTGCTCCAGTTGTATCGATAGTGTGAATATACACAACAGCGGCATATCCGCACTCTGAAGCATCACAAAACCCGTGAAGGGTAACCTTACACTTGCCAGGGGGTAAGAAAGCCCTGTCAATTTTTATAAGCTGAATGTCAGGGAGGGATGACACGAACCTATTCCAAGATCTTAACAAATCTCCCGTAAGAGAGGCATC